AGGAAGTAACCTCCTTCACTTATCTAGGAAGCACTGTTTCAACTACAGGCGGGACAGACGAGGATGTCAAAGTCAGAATCGGAAAAAGCAAGACAGGCGTTCATTAACCTGAATTCAGTGTGGAGATCTTCTGCACTCAGCATATGGAACAAGATCCGGATTTTCAACACCAACGTCAAGTCAGTGCTTCTGTATGGTTCAGAGATTTGGCGCGTCACGAAAGGGATTTCCAACAAACTACAGACATTCATCAACAACTGCCACCTACGCTGGCTCGCTACTGAAGATCAGATGGATTGACAGAAAGAATAGGCAACAAGGAGCTCTGGCTGGTGACGAACCAAACAGAACCTATCACATAACAAATATGCAGGAGGAAGTGGAGATGGATTGGAGTGGGCATGCACTGAGAAGGCCGACTGAGGACATCACGCGTCAGGCCAGTTGCTCGAGTGGAATCCCCATGCGAAGCGACGAGTTGGGCGTCGGAGTCGAGAGTGACATGGAGGAGGTCGTGCGAGGAGGAAATGAGAGGTTGTGGGCTGTCGTGGAACCAGGTTCAAAATATCTCAGAGAACAGAGGTCACTGGAGACGTGCTACTGAGGCCCTATGTTCCACTAGGAACCCAAGGGACTAATAATAATAATAATAATTAGTGACTTTACACTCTTTCACTTTTTCAAAACAGTTTTAATACCTTTATTTTATGCTTGTCTCCAACTATGTTCATACGGAGTGTCGTTTAGCTAACGCTGTATTTTTTGTTATTACGTGAACCCGCCTGACACTCATAACACCTTGGCACATTAAGATAACCGCTTTATTTATTTCTGATATCATTCATCCGTTCATCTTTACCTTGTCTTGTGTAGCATGTGTCTAGTGTGATTGAAATATGTACCTAAATCTCTTTTGCGTTTCAAAGTTTTAATGTTTTTACTGATGTTCAAAACAAACTGACGCCTTAAGGTTTGTTTATAATCACTACGGTGACTATTTACTTATTCATTCAAGTTTTATGCGGATAGTGAAAGTCATACAAAATAAAATGACATAATCTCCTTCTGCAAATGGTGTTCCGATTGGATTATTAAAGGCTAATTTTATGGAGAACTTGAATAGTTGGCTTCGATATATTCCTTGTCACTCTCCATACACAGTCTGGTATAGTTTTCAGTCAAATGGATTGACAGGAAGCTGGATACGAGCAATTAATGATACCATGAGATCATAAAAACCTAGGCAATCTAGGTTAACTGGAACTTTGTGTAGAAAACTTTCTTCCTCCGTATACAGAAACAGAATATCCAGCACATATGAAGGTCCCGCTAAACTTTTCAAATCCAGAGTTCCACCAATATTTTTGGCGTTAATGACTTCTTCAGAGGTGTTCTGCTGTCAAGAAAATGGTTATCGGCCGTCAGTTGGAATTATACTACAGAGAACCGGGAACTGAGTACTTAAGGTTCTAGACTCATAAGATCAATTCCGTCACAGTATACATAAGGATTAGGCGAAACTGTGACTTCGATGCTTCCAATGATATTTTCAGTGAATCTACAAATAGACCAAATTTTGTAGAAATTCGCGGTTGCAAACAAATGTCAGCAAGAATGCTAAACACTGAGTCATTAGAGAAAATATAGGAGCCTGAGGAATAAGCTAGAAGCCAACTATGGAAAGACATGTGATGTGCTATGGATATATGGCGAACGACTGCTACTCTGACTGGGAGAAACAAATGTATTTTGGCATAAGACGGTAGCAGTCAGTCAGCCAGGCGACTTGAACCAGAGATTCATGCCCACCAGCACTTATCAGTAAAGCGTATCTACAACTACGGGGAAACTGGAGATTTCCTCATGATTCGAACTAAAACCACTCAATGCTGTAGTCGGAGACTATACATGCGACGACTGAACCAGCATCCGACTGCATACTGCACAGGAATTAATTACCAATGGTTAGCAGAGATAGCTGTCCATCTCAATCTATTAATCACGCCTAACGCAGTCAAGGATGAAAAGTCTCCGTCTCTGAAAGAAAGACAACTTTAAGATAGGAAGCTTTACCGTGACTGACAAAATCAACGTTGAACCTCGTACACAGGTAGGTGCATCATCGCAAGTTGCTCCACTCCACAGTGGGACACAAATAACAGGTAGACAGAAAAGACTGATATCACAATCGATAAAGTTGTGTGAGAGAATAAACAATCTGAAGATAATGGTTAGTGCAAATGTTCAAGCTTTAGGAGATGACAAGAAGTGGATACATATTCGCCACTGTGACCAATTTTCAGACATGTCACTAAGAGTCCTCAACCATTCATTCTCTTAGTCTCGGGAACTCTAGCCATGTAGTCCACATCACTCAAACCAACACTGACGGACTTCATCGATTGGTGTCAGATGCCGGTCTGACCACCCTGAACCCTCTTCCATCCTAATCCGACTTCCCCTAACGTGCTTCATCGGTGGCTCGGCATATCCAACGCATCTCACTTGACTAAGGTCCACAACCTCATCCATAGACTTGCCTGTCTTCCCTAATACCTATCGCCTGATCTCAACATTATTCACACAATGATTCCACCACACGCAAGCAAGGTTATGAAGACACCTGTAATCAATACTCTGTAATTCCTACTTTCAAAGACCATATCCCACACTCACATGATGGGATGGAATATGGGTGCAACTCAATATACTCGTTCATTGATAGGTAGTCGAATATCTCACCAGTCAGCCGAAGAGATTACCCAAGTTGGCAAATGCTAAACGGGACTTCTGTATCCGACTTGAGATTTCGTCAGCAACCAACCGGTTTGGCAGGCTGATTCAACTCTCCAAGTAAGTGAGGTGGTTGACACATTCCACCACCTCACTCCGTATCATTAAACTGCGATTGCTTGCAGCAAACCCGTACTGGAGCATCATCTTAAATTCGACAAGTGCCAGTGAAACGCATGCCAAACACACACAGATTTACCCTCAACGCGTTCACAAGTGTATTTATTCTGTCAGCGTCTTCACGTAGCAGGACAATATTGTCTGCATACTTCAAGTCAACCACATGTTGCCCTGTAGTGAGTAGATGAATCCCTGTGAAGTCAAACGTACTCAAAGTTATGCTCAATAGAACGTCTATAACGAAGTTAAACAGAAACGGTGACAGTGAAGATCACTGGTGTTCACAAGTGATTTGCATGACAACTCTCCATATGCCCTTAACACGACTGCGTGAGTTCGAGTGGAGAGTTTTGGTAATCATTATGTATTTATTCGGTACTCCTTTACCAGTTAGACACTGCCACAACACCTGACGGTCGACAGAGTTAAATGACTCCTTCAGATCGAGAAATATGGCGAGTGTTGGCCACCGGTAGGTACGCCTATGTTCCACGACCTGTCATAGGGTGAGAATACAATCGATGCAGCTTTTTCCAGGTGTGTCTGAAATCTGCTTGCTTTTCATGAGTCCGGTGTTGTCGAGCTCCAGTTAGATGTCGGATAACTGTGGAGTGTAGGATCTTTGACCGTATATTAGTCCAACTAGTTCGTCTATGGATGCCATAAGAAGATTTGATTCCCTTCTTATAGACCGGGATGATCAGTGAAGCACACCAGTTTGACGGCAATAACTTTGATTCTCATACACTACCTAGTAACTCCATAGGTAGTGTGGCTTGTTGCACATACTAGCTGAGATTAGCGTGAGAGTTTTCTCCACTATTTTTGATACAGATTTCTGTCATCTTCCGACAGACCGCGATGGTCAATAGCTGACGGACCTGTGTCAGAGACACCAAGATGGGATCTAAAAACGATACCAATTCTCGGACTTTTCCCATGCAATCTGTACAGATTTAGAGACAACCATTAAGTTGTTTTACTTTTCGGATAAGTGTGAGTGCGAGCTAAAAAAAGCAATACAATTTGGTACCCAGGTAGAAGTCGTAGGTTTGTTGTATACTGCCAATAATACCATGATGTAAGAGATATCTGGATAGAGAATTATACAAGAGCAACATAACAACGCAAAAATGTTTTTAAAATACGTACTCAGTAGTCATAACTTGTGATATTTACTTTGTTGGTTAGTATATATGAATACTACTACCTGTCTGAATCTGGCAAAGTCTACTTTTGTCATAATAATGAATGAGATTTGTATACTTGTAGATACGTGAATTTCAGGTGAAAATGAATCAGTAGTACTTGTAAAGATAAAGCAACTTTAAAAATGTTGAAAAATGGAATAAGGAAAGAAAGACATTCAAAAAATAACAGGAAGAATACATATACGCGGGATCGGAAAAGCAAGACAGGCCTTCATCAATCTGAAACCAGTGTGGAGATCTACTCCACTCCACTCCACTGCACTCAGCATAAAGCGTGAACAGAATCCGAATTTTCAACACCAACCCAGTCAAGTCGGTGCTTCTATGTGATGGCTGAGAGACTTGACGAGTTACGAAAAGCATTTCTAACAAACTACAGACATTCATCAACAACTGCCACCTACGCTGGCTCGCTACTGAAGATCAGATGGATTGCCAGAAAGAATAGGCAACAAGGAGCTCTGGCTGGTGACGAACCAACCAAGAACCTATCACTCAACAAATATGCAGGAGGAAGTGGAGATGGATTGGAGTGGGCATACACTGAGAAGACCATTCGAGGACATCACGTGCCATACCCTCGAGTGAAATCCAAAGCGGAAACGACTAGTTGGTCGTCCTAGGGTAACATGAAGGAGGTCGTGTAAAAAAGAAATGAAAGCCTTTGGGTAGACTTGGAGCCAGGTTGAAAAGACTGCAAAGCAGAGAGTGGAATGAAGACGTGCTACTGAAGCCCTATATTCCACTAGGAACCCAAGGGATAAATAATAATAACAATAATATAATAATGCATATACACGTAACAAGCACAATTGATGGTTTAACAAACATAATTTAAGTAAAATTTCAGAAAGTATAATCACTAATAAAGTATCTTCAAGTAAATTTAGTTGAATCAATATTATAATGAAAAGTTTCAAAGATCTTCTTTAAATTTTCTTCTTGTTCTTCAAAAACTTTCAATTTACTTCCAATACAGTAAAGTCGATGAAGAAACTGATGTGCTATTTCTATTTCACTATCTACTAAACAGTCTACTGCTACAAGGAATTGTTTAGATTTTTGAAAATTTTTTAAGATGAAAAAAATTTTATCAATTATTGAACTACGATTATTATCATCTAATGACATAATCTCTGTATTAACAATAGCATGATCCAATATTGAGAGTATATCAGGTAAGAATGAAACACCTAGTCCAGTGTTAAAAAGATTTTCTAATAGTTCATTACTTTGATGAAATAATAATTCTATTAAAGAATTCTCTTTATCTTTATCAGTTAAAATTGTTGATGATTTAATATGGCGCCAGTGTATAATGAATTCCTGTGGAGTAGTTATAGTCTTCGTATGCTGCTGCTGCTGCTGAAAGGTAAAAGATACATGTGGGACCAATACAAATAAAGACAATGAGATATTAAGCTAGAGAAATTTAGTTATATGGATAGATATTCATTAAAATAAATATACTCACATACACAATACCACAGATTTATGTTAATCATAAAGTTATCACAAAATTGGAAAGGAAGAGAAGGAAACGATGTCATTTATGCGTGATGTAACTCATATAACCATCTTTCTAAGGTTATTTCAACTCTTGCAATGAGCACGTAAATATAGTTCAAGTTAAAAAACAAAAACAATATTTTCAACAAAAATAAGAATATATCCTCCCCATTCACAAGGTCTATATATCGAAGAAGTAAAAAAGATATAAGAATACAAATCAGCGAAAATATGGACATTCATATGGTAGAAAATAATAAGTTACACCTACTATATGACAATCAAGGATACTACGTAACTGCCTAGACTTCTAAATATGAAGCGGGACTGTAACCTGTTGTCCAATTATTGATATTTCAGTGTCTAGGCCAGTGTGTTATAGATCATTATATATGCACGGGTTTGAACATTTTTAAACAATTATGTATTTGGTAAATACATCAATGAGATATTCTACTTTTGATGCTAACACACTTAACCAACCTTACAGTGTATTTTACTCACAGTTGTATCATCAAGTGTTTAGTCCTCTGACCTATGAAATTCAGTGAGTAAAAGGAGGACATTAAGTTCATTTACCTCTAACAGGAAGTGGCCTAAATAGAAAGTAACATTTTAAATCATCAGCCGTTGCGTGGTTAGAAAAAACCTCATTGGACAATTAATTCTACAGTTGACCAATCAGAATAAGTTATTTAACTTTTGACCTAGTGGTTTCATATATTTATAGAAACTGTGTATAAATGATGTATTTTTGTGGAATAAATTGTCCTCTTTACAGTCAGAGGCCAGTCTTTCCCTTCTGATTTTCGTGGTTCAGTAAAGTACTAGGTTCTGAGGGAAAACAGTCGTTATTTGTATCAAATCCTAATGCGTCTTCACATCAGCCTTGTCCACGTAGATATTATTTTATTTACTTGGTCACTTCAACTTTTAGAAAACGATCAAACCCAACAAAAAGACTTGAATTTATCATTAGAAAATTAACAGAAGTATGAAATACACTGTTAGTGAAAAACTCGATGTGAAAAATATGATATTTAATTGTTTAGTAATTTACATTGAATGTTAAAACGGCGACAAACGTAGTTACTTTAAACGTGACCTTGGCAGATGCTGAGAAAACCAATCAGGGTTCAGTATTTCGCCTGGTAAAGTTTCTTTCCACAAAATAAAGGAATATAATTGGTTGTTTCATCAGTTGCTAGAGTGGCCTTTAAAATCGCCCATAAACTGGTATAGCTCATAGTTAAACTGACAATTGCAATATATTTAACACTCTCAAATGGTTACCGCTTTTCATTCACCTACATGCTTGAATATAACCATTTTTGTGTGTTTATTTCATGCCAGTAAGTCACCGACTGTACTTCAGTAACTATTACGGTTAGCTTAACAACTACTGAAATGACCAATGAGATTTCACAATTTCACGGGGTGAAAAAATCATCTTTTTGGTCTAAATAAAGAAGCCTACTTGGTTATTTCAGTAGTCGTTAAGAGGGTATATAGATTCACTCCTGTGTAGAAAACATGCAAGAGATTTGCTACGTTACCTACAAACTGTCATTTTATCTTTTAACCGTTTACAGATAGTGCATGCGTACAGCTAAATAACAAACCAAGAAAACAATAAGTTAGAAATATGTTGGTAAGTTTGAGGCAATAGGCAGGAATCCCTGTATCCCGGTTTACGGCACTCATCAGCAAGGCATATCTCCAACTTCGATGGAACTAATGCCCCCTGTGAGATTCGAACCCACGTCATTCAGTGTTGCAGTCAGCGAAGTCACCACTGAGATCTACAGTGACCAGTCCCGAATAGCTTAGTGGTAACGTCGCTAACTGCAACACCGTATGACGCGGGTTTGAATTTCACAGGGGACAACAGTTCTGCAGAAGTTCTAGATGACCTTCTGAAGAATGCAAACAAGCAAGAAATCTAGATCCAGGACTTTCTGCTCGTTGCCTCCAACTAACTGACATCCATCAAAAGTGCAGCATGATGGTAAGCCTCTCAGCTTGGTGATCAAATTTCTAAATGATGTATAGAATTCAGTCAGCACTCACGACCAGATAACATGAGATTGGTTGCTCTGCTGTTGTATGAATATATAAATTATGAATATAAAACCAAGCTATTTAGCCTTCTGTATTATTAACTCATACATAAGTCATGCTGTTTAAGTATTAGCAGATGTGATGAATATATGATAAGATCGTTTTAGAACACAGCAAATATAAATGAATATAGTAGTGAGTATGTTGACAAGAAAAATCTACAAAGGAAGATCATATGAATTAGAATAATTTATTTAGGCTGGGAAATAATTCGATATTTGAGTAACTCTTAAGCATATTGTTCACAACTACCGAAATAGTCAATCAAGTTTCTTTATTTTATGAAAAACTACCCTTCCATTCAAATTAGAGATATCTAATTTATCATTATATCAATTGGTAAATTGAACTTACTCGATATTTTTTCTGAAAAATATTCTAAAGCAGTTAAACTCATTTTCATTTCATTAATTATAAATGTAAAGGAATAACTTGTATCCAATATCTATCAGTAGTGTTATAAAACTAGTATGAATACACTTAAATGAGATCTTTAAGGTTATCAAAAAGGTAAAAGGATACTTTTTTTCAGCAGTAAAACCCATTCAAATGTCTACAGTACTAAACAAATATGAAGTGGAAGTTAAATTAAGTTTACATACATATATTATTAGTCCCTTGGGTTCCTAGTGGAACATAGGGCTTCAGTAGCACGTCTCCAGTGACCTCTGTTCTCTGAGATATTTTGAACCTGGTTCCACGACAGCCCACAAGCTCTCATTTCCTCCTCGCACGACCTCCTCCATGTCACCCTCACCTCGAACGTCCAACTAGTCGCTTCCCATGGGGATTCCACTCGAGCGACTGGCCTGACGCGTGATGTCCCCAGTTGGCCTTCTCAGTGTATGCCCAATTCAATCCATCTCCACTTCCTCCTGCATATTTGTTGCGTGATAGGTTCTTGGTTGGTTCGTCACCAGCCAGAGCTCCTTGTTGCCTATTCTTTCTGGCAATCCATCTGATCTTCAGTAACGAGCCAGCGTAGGTGGCAGTTGTTGATGAATGTCTGTAGTTTATTGGAAATGCCTTTCGTAACGCGCCAAGTCTCTGAGCCATACAGAAGCACTGACTTGACGTTGGTGTTGAAAATCCTGATCTTGTTCCGCATGCTGAGTGCAGATCTCCACACTGAATTCAGGCTAATGAACGCCTGTCTTGCTTTTCCGATTCTGACTTTGACATCCTCGTCTGTCCCGCCTGTAGTTGAAACAGTGCTTCCTAGATAGTGAAGGAGGTTACTTCCTTTAAGTTTCTCCCGTTCATGGTGACTGGAGTTTGTTTTGTTGTTGTTGTTGATGGTGGTGGTGCGGTATCTTCATCACTTCTGTCTTCTCTATATTCACTTGAAGTACCGTCTTCGCTGCCTCTTCTATCAACTTGTTAGTTTTCGCCTGTAGATCTTCAAGTTTGTGTTACAAGACATCAGACACAAGTCATCGGCTATATCCAGATCTTCTAGGTTCTTTTCCGCAGTCCAGCCAGCGTATCCCCCTCTTCTCGCTGCCCACTGTTTGCTGCATGATCCAGTCAACCACAATCAGGAATATCATGGGAGATAGTAGGCAACCTTGTTTCACTACTGTCTTCACTTCAAAAGCATCATCACTGAGCTTCCCATTGTGATATATATATATATATATATATATATATATATATATATATATATATATATATATATATATATATATATATATATATATATATATAAGCATTCCTCCTTTTTATATCCGAACGTCGACTTCACACTAAACCAACTATGTGTTCCAAAGTCAGGTTGAAGTTGAAGAACACGTTTCTTTTACAGATATACATTTCAAGACAGGCAGGTAGGTATCCAAGTTAACATGATATCATCATTTAAAGTAACTATTTATGATAACTTACTATCTTCGAGTTCATTTTAGGTTCTTCGTAAGGCATGCTATTGTTATTGAGTAATGTTGTAGAACTATTCCATGAAGATTTTTGACCAGTTGAGTTAATTAATTTTGATCGTTCTAAAGGTTTTAAATGACATCCAGCTACAAGTTCTCTGAGTAAAGTGAAAATGATAAAATTAATTTTACAAAGAAATAAATAAAAGCAAAGCATTTCATGAATACTCAAGGGAATGACTAATTCAACACGATATTCAAAAGAAAATTTGAAAAAGCATGGTCCGGAAATTTGAACAAAAAACGCAAACAGAAAAAGTATATTGCGTAGTAAGTGTGTAATAAAAATTCAAATTTATGCTTTATTCAATAATAATTAACCATCCTACCAACCTAGCTTGACTAAATTATTTCGTTCCGAAGCAAAATAAGGTTAAGACAAACAATCTGTATCTACTCACCCATATGCATATGCAAGTTTCCCTCACCTCACAGATTTTCACTATTTTATAGAAGAATCCTTTATACATCTAGAGTACATAAAAGACAGCCTAGTTAGGTGAAGATACTGACAAGACACCGAGACTTCTGAACACCTTCACTAACGACTTCAGAATGTAAGGAATGCGTTTCTCACCACCAAAATGCAAATTGTTGCTCTGTAACTAGTCTCCGTTGGAATAAAGTGGGAGGGGGGGGGTAAGGGCATTGGCCAATTCACTCACCAGAGAAGTTGGATCAGCCTTGTTGAGCTAGTGACCAGCGCCTGAGAGATACCAATTCCTTGTTAAGGAATGAGTGAACTACATAGCAATTCGTTCTGTTGTACCACATGCCTTCAGGTATTCGACCACTATGGCCTCCTTAGCACAGGCTGTGTCCATAACGTAGAAATCAGGTGTAGAGTACGAGATAGAAGTCATTCAATGAGGTTGTGAACCTTAGGTGATTGGGGCATGGGTTGAATATGCCTAGCCAGTCTGTGTCTCGTCGCGAAATTTTAGCCGAAGTACATTTGGGCTGACAAAAGGTAAGAGGCGACTGGAATAAAGCACGGGACAAAGTCTGTAACTGTTTGTGTCAGCCGTGTAGGCAAATGCAGACTTCCCAGTTGAAGTAGATGTCAAAATCAAAGTCAGTAGTTGGTGACTGGGGATACGGCTTAGATGTATCCCCACATTCTCCTAATGCGAATCATCAAATCGAATTTTATCACTGCTTCAACCTCTTTTTTCTCTCTTCTAATGGCTTTCTACGATTTTTAGTTATTTTTTTCTTGATTTTTTTTGCCCTTCATCTTGATGCCTTCAACCATGTTGTGCTAATGTGAGGTGTGAAAACTAGGATGGTTATGAAGAAATGCTAGTTTTCTTGTTGAAACTTCGAGAGAAGAACTTGATATAAAATCCTCAAGCTAATATGAATCATATAGTTCTTGTATAGAGTGATAATAGCAAAAAACTAGTTTCAACTAAAACGAAATGATGATTAAAAAAATCCTTTGTAGACCGATATCTTAGAGACTTATGTACACACTGCGGAGTAATTAAAAGACTGTTACCTGACACATCATTTGATACGGTTTATAGTATTAATAACAGTTGGGTGTGAATTGTGTGTCCTAGTTTTAACAGAAGTATGAAGTTTTTTAGTCACCATCCGGGGAAAAGTAAACCGAATTTCCATAGACGGATAAATAAATTATCCAAATACCTTTCTAAAAGTGTAACAACTATTTCTTCAGTGTTGAATATTCAGAAACAACTAAACGGATTTACAAACGCCCCATATATGTACTACTTTTCAGATGACGTCTAAATAAAACAGGTTCAATTCTTCTGATGCTCATTTTACAAAGCTGTAAATATAAGAATGTATAAGCAAAAGCCATTAACATCAATAACAACACACCGACCTAAAATCATCATATGTTGGAACACCTTGTTGAACTGCTCTAATTTTTGCATCATTTTCAAGCCAATATCTGGATTCTTTTGCAATAGCTGAATTCATCTCTCTTTCTAGATTATTCATATTGATACCAAGTCGTTTCAGATGATCATCGTTAGTTTCAACCATCTTTTAGAAAGTTATTTCCAAGAAATTAGAAACCTTTAAAAATAAAAAAAAAAGATGATGTATGGTAAATTCTAACATTCTGTATTACAGAGATTTTTGCTTTCAGTATATGTCTTGTCAGTTAATAGTTTACAACAATGCCTTTTTAACAATACTTCATATTCAGAATATTTTAAAGAGTTACTTGATTCTCTGAAGTGGGTAAGGTAATGGTAATATTTCTTAGCTGTATGATTCAAAAAAGCAACTTGTATAATATTTAACGTCTAGGAGTAACGAAGTGTAGAAATCTATTACTTTATTCGGAATGATTTCATGTCAGATTACTTTATTTGATATAGCAAACAGTAATACACTTTAATTTACTGGATGACATTTCGAGCAGAATTCATCGATTATAACCACATCAGATTCTTTTCCGAACGTCATCCAGTAAATAATGCTGTATCACTGTGTACTATAATTAAATAAACTGATATGAAATTATATTATACCATAGTGCTCAAAACTTACTTTTTTATTCTCAATGATCCATTACAGCTGCTTTTCAGTAGTAAACTCAACACTTACTGTACAGTAACAATTGCTGAAACAGTATCACACATCACTTGAATGACTAAAGTTAGTGAAGATAGCACTTGCATTTTCCTTAAAGAAAGAAAACTAGCAAAGGTGTTCTACTCAAAGCACTACAGATGCTTTGAGATGGATATCACGAAGTTCTAATGAGAAGCCGTTACCTGTAGGATCAAGCAGTCGGAAGTGAAGCGGATGCCGATTGGAGACTACGATGGATAATCGCAAATTGACAGAAGTATAAAACTGGGGAGCACTGAACAATGAATCCAGTGGTTGGATGGTTTACGCGTTCGCCATGAAGTCTTAAGGTCCTGACTTCAATCCCAGGCAGGGTAGAGGGCACGGACAGTTGAGGAGTCTTGTACTATGACGAAATGGCTGTTCAACCCCCTCAGGTTTTCAGAGGTTCTTCATCTGATGGTAGTCCATGGTGAATAGTACCTTAAAAATAAAATCCCCACTAGTCTCAAAAAACCATTTAATCATCTAACGATATGATTTCTTATCTCCGAAAATACCAACATAGTTGTAATCAACACAATCATGAAACGTTACTAAACAAATAAAATGGAGTCTTATTCAACTTAAATGTTTCAGAATCAAAACTTTCTAATCTACTGACTGATAGAAAGGTTAATATATAGCCCAACTACTTCTGTGGAACTTAGTTGACGTAAACCTTTGTATGCGAACTAGTTAATGCAAAGGAAACATGCTTTCTTCCTATAATTGTCACCGATGTCGAGAACTCTATGACTAAAATGAAACTGAGTAAAGTACCTGATTTAATTTGATGAATTCTGAAATATGTCTCTAAATGATAAATAGGGTTGACTTTGGGGATAAAATCAAACTTGATACAATATCACATTCGTTCAAGTTACCATGATTCCACTAGCACAGTGACATGGAAAGCAAACACATTTTGTTATCAAACGAAAACGTTTGTTATTCCTGACAAAATCAACCAAAGGATAATCGAAGCATATTACACTAGATGGCTAGATTCTACCTCAGTCAACCTAATTAGTCATTTACGGATATATTTCAGAATCCATCAAATTAAATCAGCTACTTTACTCAGTTTCATTTTAGTCATAGAGTTCTCGACATCGGTGACAATTATAGAAGAAGGGATGTTTCCCATGCACTAACCAGTTCGCAGACAAAGGTTTACCTCAACTAAGTTCCACAGGAGTAGTTAGGCTATGTAGTAACCCTTTTCAACTGCGACTGATATTAATGCCTTGGGTCAGTGTCAATGGTAACTATGTCGAGTAATATCATTATGCGTGCCTAAAGTTGGTGTTCATTAGAATACATGGATATCAAAGTAAAGTTTCAGTGAATAGTAGACACCATGGTCTTGTTGGGCTGCAATGCAAAAATTACCACCTGTCATTCTGATTGACTGAGTATCATGTCCAACTAATTTTCTTAATAACATTATCCAGTCACAATGATTTTGGTAACTAATATTTGCACCGTTAGTTAGATAATGAGTCCCAAATATGGTTGTAAGTAAAACAAACATATATTTAATGGTATTGTTGATTTAGATTTAGCCACCCTACACTGTTGGCAAATAAAAGTGATTTACAGTCAATGAATTGTAAAAATGACATAACTAATCAATGAACTGGAGAAACATTAATAGGTCTAGCTAGATCTGTTTGGGACTGAATCTGACAGGAGAAAAGTATTCACATCAACAGAAGATGAAAAAAGTTAATGAATACAACTAAGAACATTTATTGGTTACTTGAGATTAAATACCTACTAATCCAACAAACACAATGATAGAACATAGTATTCGTTTTAAACAGTATTTTCAAAATACCTGGATGTGGTGATCAGGTTCGTAGATCACAAAGACTCAACAAGCTACACTGGTTGGAACGCTTGTTGCTTCGATGTCCTATCATACCAAAGACGTCTATTATGTAGTGGTTAGACAAGAAGTCATTATCGTTATAGTGTGCAAAATGTTATGCTATGATGGACCTCCGCGGGCGAAGTCGTGTTGTTGACTGGAAAAAGGTATGGCAGCAGTAGGGTGTTTCCCGAAGATGACCAGCAGGACCATGCTGATTCTGCTTTTCCTTTCTACTTTGCGGCATGCCGATTCCGGTGATACCGGTTCACATAGTCGGATTCATAAAAACAACAACTAAAGTCCATAGGTGGTCGGTTTCAAATAGATGTCTTTGACCTCTGCAGCAACGCACTACTACTGTAAATCGTTTCTTTTACACGTAACTCAGAAAGAAATAGTCATCCAATTGTATGCAGCCAGGAAGTGTCAGTCAGCCTTGGAGCTGTGTCAGCACTCAAACTCCCTCAGATCATTGTCAACCTCTGACATCTTTACCTTCTATCCTTTACAGATGACTATCGGTCAGTAATCTGTGATCTCTAATTTCTTTCAGCTCTCGATAACGATTCGAGTTCATGCAACAGTATCCCTGTTCTCAAAACTACACACTTAAGCCTTCAATGTTCACACCTTCCATTATATCAACCAACAACCTTCGCTAGTCAAAACTCTGGCATTGTGGATGTGTTCTGTACTTATGAAACATCCACAGAGGACTTACATGTAGTTCTTCACCTAATCTCACTAGACCAAAATGAAATTTCGAAATTCACTCTTCAAGTTTCTGGAGATTCAATGGTCAGTCCTTGCGAATGTAAGGATGATATTGAGCACTAAGACAAAGTCCTCAACCCCCACCGGATCCCAGCTAACAGTCGCCTATGAGCTGCTCGACTGAAAGGTACGGTAAAGACGAAGAAGAATAGCGAAAATCATCGTCGTCTTTGTAAGCTCTACTTATGCACCCATTGATTGCAGTTCCAATGAAGCGAAGAATTAGTTCTACCGAAAACTGTCTACCCTTCTACTAAAAGCCAAGCGTTCAGACGTCGTAGTTTTTACAGGTGATTTCAGTGCAGAAGTGGATAGACTAGTTCAGACGGTCAAAAATGCAATTAAATGGTACTTTCGGAATCCTAGCAGAATGAACAGATAACGACAATCACCCGTGCTCAGACAGCCATCAACTTTTGGTGGGAATAAACTTAAGACAGACAATGTCCGACGTGGTGTCCACCGGCATCAACTCAGTAGGGGACATAGGACATATTGCTACCAATTATCGCTAGAGAGGCTCGGTACAAGATCGCTGCTCCTTCTGGAGCACGTCTTTGGACAGCGATCACGCGTTGGTTCGGACACGTCTACGTATGTTCCTAAATGGAGAAAAATAAAGGAGAAAGACCAATGCGACTGTTGCTTGATGGTGATAGCACTAAGGGTGCTTTCTGAAAGAAGTTGACTAGATAGTTACGCAACAAAACAGAATTTTTCATCCAGCAGAAACCTAGCAGAATCTATAGTTTGCTCAAAAAACACTTGAAGACTGTAGCTGACTCTCGAACAGTAGTTAGGAAGGACCAGTGGATCTCAGTAGCTTCTTCTGAAGTAACGAATGCGACCCAACACGTTCCTGATGGTTCTGGGCATAACGAGGAGTGTAAGCAACTCAAATGTAGGCTAACAAGAAGTCTAAGCAATGACCACGAACAGTGGTGCGTGCAGTGAAGGCTGAGATGGAAAGTCAGTGCGACAACCAACAGTACACAGCTACTTAGGCTTATTCAGCAAACGGGTGCAGAAAGGCTAATGGTAAGTGAGACTATGAAAGCTAAGGAGAGGACTGCGATCCACTTGCAGGACAGACAACTCCGAGGAACAGTACCAGATATTACTTCGCTGCCCACTATTCAGTCGGATCCGGAAGCGAACAATAAGATAAGGGCAGAAACACCTAAAAAAGTTGCGAAAGCTGTATGCAATTTGAAACGAAGAACAGCAACACGGGTAGATAGACTAGTTCCAAAAGTATTTAAGGACAGTGGTCACAGATTACTGGTCAAATTAACTGGAGTTAACTAGCGTAAGGGAAGAAGATATGATCCCTTCTGAATGGTATAAATCGTTGATTGTCTCAGTATTCAAGAATGATGATAACTTCTTGTGATAACCAGAGGGGATTCAGCCTGATGGACATAGAGTCTAAGATTCTAGTTTTCATAATGACTGAACGCACAAGCAAAGCTTGAGAACAACAAACCCAAGAAAACCAAACAGGCTTCAAACCTCATGCTGGATAAACCAACCAGATATTCACACTCTTCCAGGTTCTGTAACACAGGCATACCTACTGACGCCCTACACTAGCCGTATTTTCGATCTGAAAGGGGATTTAACATAAGCAATCGAAGTCTTATGAATCTCTCTCACTGGGAAGGTCCAAGTAATTACGTCACTCCATTGCATCGATTGTATTTTCACCCTGCGACAGGTCGTGGAACATAGGCGTACCTACCGGTGGCCAACACTCGCCATATTTCTCGATCTGAAGGAGTCATTTAACTCTGTCGACCGTCAGGTGTTGTGGCAGTGTCTAACTAGTAAAGGAGTACCGAATAAATACATAATGATTACCAAAACTCTCCACTCGAACTCACGCAGTCGTGTTAAGGGCATATGGAGAGTTGTCATGCAAATCACTTGTGACACCAGTGATCTTCACTGTCACCGTTTCTGTTTAACTTCGTTATAGACGTTCTATTGAGCATAACTTTGAGTACGTTTGACTTCACAGGGATTCATCTACTCACTACAGGGCAACATGTGGTTGACTTGAAGTATGCAGACGATATTGTCCTGCTACGTGAAGACGCTGACAGAATAAATACACTTGTGAACGCGTTGAGGGTAAATCTGTGTGTGTTTGGCATGCGTTTCACTGGCACTTGTCGAATTTAAGATGATGCTCCAGTACGGGTTTGCTGCAAGCAATCGCAGTTCAATGATAGGGAGTGAGGTGGTGGAATGTGTCAACCACCTCACTTACTTGGAGAGTTGAATCAGCCTGCCAAACCGGTTGGTTGTTGACGAAATCTCAGGTCGGATACAGAAGTCCCGTTTAGCATTCGCCAACTTGGGTAATCTCTTCGGCTGACTGGTGAGATATTCGACTACCTATCAATGACGAGTATATTGAGTTGCACCCATATTCCATCCCATCATGTGAGTGTGGGATATGGTCTTTGAAAGTAGGAATTACAGAGTATTGATTACAGGTGTCTTCATAACCTTGCTTGCGTGTGGTGGAATCATTGTGTGAATAATGTTGAGATCAGGCGATAGGTATTAGGGAAGACAGGCAAGTCTATGGATGAGGTTGTGGACCTTAGTCAAGTGAGATGCGTTGGATATGCCGAGCCACCGATGAAGCACGTTAGGGAAGTCGGATTAGGATGGAAGAGGGTTCAGGGTGGTCAGACCGGCATCTGACACCAATCGATGAAGTCCGTCAGTGTTGGTTTGGTGATGTGGACTACATGGCTAGAGTTCCCGAGACTAAGAGAATGAATGGTTGAGGACTCTTAGTGACATGTCTGAAAATTGGTCACAGTGGCGAATATGTATCCACTTCTTGTCATCTCCTAAAGCTTGATATTTGCACTAACCATTATCTTCAGATTGTTTATTCTCTCACACAACTTTATCGATTGTGATATCAGTCTTTTCTGTGTACCTGTTATTTGTGTCCCACTGTGGAGTGGAGCAACTTGCGATGATGCACCTACCTGTGTACGAGGTTCAACGTTGATTTTGTCAGTTAGTCAGTCAGTCCAGGTTACAGTGAAAACACATGGTTATAGACTGTATGTGAAATTGGTCATAATCAAAATCAGTGATGCAGATGCATCCCCCTATAATCTTAATCTTACATCCGTTCTGGGTCTCTTTTGTTGGCTTGCTACCTTTTTTAATTGCTTTTTTGTTTATCCGTCATCTTCGTGTATTCTCACTTGACGTACTATTTATGAGATGTAGAAACGTGGAGACCAGGTCCAGTGTCGATATTGTCTGTTTATGATTATATTAATAACGAACTTAGGAAGAATAGAGAGGAAGTTTTGTATCCAACACAGAGGTAATTGTTTCTTCGTGTATTTTTGAGTAGAATGGTTTGTTATGACGTTTCACTACTTGAAATTGTAACAGTATCATCAAAATATTTCTACTACTTGAAAGTTACGATAATTAAGTTCCGACTAAACTTACAACAGACTACACAACATACTAGCAAACACAAAAATACTCATTTTTATCAACAGAAAAGATAGATGTAGTATGAAGTTATTTCAGTTATATATATACATGGATAAATGTTGTTCCTCATTGTATTATACAGTTCATTTCGTTAACAAAATGATTTTCATATGCCCATATAACTTATATGTAAAAACAATTTAAGAGGATTTCAAACGTTTACGCCATGTAGATTTTTCAGCTGTACTTAATCTTTCCCATCTTAACAATAATTGATTGGTTAACCAATCCTGAGTTGGAGGAGCATTAAAGATTGTACGATGTTCACGTTTTAATGATGGACCGATATATTTAGCAAATAATCGGAAAGCAGCTTGTATCAATTCAGGATCATCAGAATCAACATGTTCTTCATCTGAATATTCAGTAGTCTGACATGATGATCTATTATCATCTAACTGGTCATCAAACAAGTTTTCAGATTTGTTTTCCTCATTATTTTGAACCAATTGAAATTCCTCTGAATCTGTTGAAGATTTCGTTGACTTTGAATAGCTGGATAAATGATCAGGTTTTTGACTTATATGTTGGAATCCTGTGTTAGAAAGGAGATGAATATTATCAGCTTCATTCGACGAGACAATACATTGATAATGCAATAGGTAATCCATAATTTCTTCATCGCTAAGTGATTTGATGACAGGTGAAGATGATTTAAGTGCTTCAATCTCTGTTAGAAGATCTCTTAAACACGATGCTAGTACATAGGATTCACGAACTAAACTAGCATTATTCAACTTTAATTCTTCAATATGTTGCTCCAATAATTCACACGCTTTTATTCGCCAGTCGAATTGACTCTCCTCAGAGTTCTTCAATACATCTGATGGTACAGTATCGGTCATAACAAATAGTGACTCCAATGAACACCTTTCTGTAACCATATTTAAAAGGTACATGGATTAGTTATCAAAATGTTAATAAGTGAAAAAGGTTTAAAAATCGTTCAAAATACAATCAACACAATAATTGTAGTCTACTTGGTGGCAGTGGAATCAACGAAATGTATTTCGTCCTGTTTGAGAATCATCAGTTGGATGTACCTGCGCCCAAGTGAGTGATGTTCCCACTGAGACTCAGATCCAGTACCCATTGCTTTAAACGCCAGAGCAATATCTACTAGGCAAAAAGAAACAATAAACAAGTGTTGAAATACAAGTTAAGGCGAACCGATACTCTGTAGAGACGATTAGTGAAATTGGACGGCAGAAGAAACACCTATCCCGTAAAGAATCAGATATATATTCCAAGCCCGGAGTGATAATGATATATCCTAGTTAATTTGACTTCGAAACCAACCATCGTTTTCACCTAAATGTGATCTATCCATCCAATACATATTTCAGATTTTGCACAATCTAAAACAGCCTAAAATGCAACACGCAAAGAAATCGGTAGATATTACTATGTCAAGTCATTTAACTAAGTTACAGTTTTACTGTACGTGACATTTTTGCTTTTTATAATACAGCCAAGTGAAATTCTCATAATATCAGACGTCTGAGAGCTATGCGTAATATCTGAACAATTAAAATCAACCCATAATTTGATCAGTGGTGGCTAAGAGTGAAATTCAGGATGCGCATGTTTTCCTGTTTTGGCCTTGATAGCTAGATGAAACTGTGTCTCGGTGTGTGGTGATTTTCCCATAAAGAGAGAGAGTTCCAAACCCGGCATCCGTTGCTTCAAACGCCAAAGCGATGCGAGTCACCTCTTGTATCACTAAATAAGATCATTTTAGACCACTGAAACTGACAAATCTATAACCTCAAATTATACTTCACAAAAATAAAACCTAATACATTGATGTCTTACTGCTGAAACAAACAGCTAAGTAAATAATCTCATGCATATATATAATAACTATAAGATTCATCTGATCAAGAAATCTTCATAAGGTTTATCATTTCAAACTTGTACCACAGAAAGAATAAGCGAACACCAACAAAAATCTGCTATTCTCTAGGAAGTATTTCAATATATAATCATTTACCAAAAGTAAACTTGTATTCGGCTATCAGAAGTTAATCAACCTCATATAAACACACTGTTCATAGTGGAGAGTAATGAAGGTGACAATACTTTCATTCTTCTATATTCAAAAAAGAAAGTTAGTGTACAAGAATTCAAAGATGCATTCATGAAGAAAATCTACAAAATTTTCAATATATTTAAAGTCTATGGATCTTTCTTTCCCTAACAAAACTGTAATGGGGAAAGGGTAAACACGTCAGAGGAAGTGGAATATACCACTGTTTGATGGTAGGAGTCAGACTGGTAGGAAACAAAATAAATTTGTTTTATTGAATGCCTAAACTTTGTCAATGAAAAGAAATATTTCTTTGCTTATACATGCCTTGTTCTTGTTAATGAATAAATGGATATATTTCGTCAGTTGAAAGAGTGCAAGGACCCAATGACAGTGAAGGGACTCAGTGGGTTTCTTCGTTATTCTGTCAAACTTGCGTAAGCGAATACCCAAGTTTTACACCTATATTAATAGTACAATGGAGGCTGTGAACTCCTTTTTACTCGTGTCGTCGTTATTAGTCGCACTCATGTGATTGTTATTTTTTCGTTTTTTGTTTCTGTAAGAATTTCTTAATAAACTGCGTAGGATAATTATTAACTATTAGAGCTTCTTTTACGTGTTTCAATTCCTTGTTCTTGCTGTAGCTGGTCAGTTTTCTAGCTCTATCACTTAGCCATTTGACTAATCCTGCCTTAACTGACATTGGATGGGATGATTTGAAGTCTAGATACCTGTTGGAATGTATTAGTTTTAGCTGCATTCTGACTGCTCTCCAATAGCATACTGATTAATATCTTGGCATTTATTATAGATATTTGGGAACAAAAAGACTTATGGACGTTTAATCTTGGACCTCAGATATGGTGACGACATATGGATGACACATTTATTGTGTCGGCATCGGAACATATAGACATTTTCCCTACACATGTAAACTCAGTAGTAGGTACAATCCAATTCATGAGGTAGATGTACAAGGAGAAATAGCTATACTGGACTGCAAAAGAAGACGAGGAACAAATAGTGGTTTGAATACTACCGTCTACAGGAAACCAGTACAATTCCACAGGTATCCATACTTCAGATCATCCAATCCAACGTCAGTTAAAGCGGGTTTAGTCAAATGTTTAAATAATAGAGCTAGGGAACTCACTAGTCATTCCAAGGGCTAAAGGAATTGAAACATCATAATCCTCTAGAGATCATTAAGGAATTCAAGAGAATACAAAAGCGAAGTAGTAATTGTTATTGAATAGCAATGACGACACAAGGAGAAAATAGTTCAAAGCCTTTGTTATTATATAAGGAACGAATATCAGAAACATTACGTAGGATTATCAACAAGGCTGGAATCAGGGTGGCATTTAAAACTACAAATTCACTCAGAGATAAGCTTCGTCAGCTAAAGGACCCGGTAGAACCAGTTACGCAAAATAATCTAATCTACTAAATTCCATGCAAATACTATGAGGTCAAGTATATACGTCAAACTAGCCGGTTGAGGTCAGTTAGATTATCGGAACATAGGAATTTAGCCAAATGTAGAATATTAGATCCCAATAAGATGAACAATTTAAAAGAAAAAAAAACTCGGCTATTGCAATGATGTACTGACACACAACTACACAACAGGGTAGGATAAAAACACTGTACTCAAGTCAGATATCATTAGATGGAGAGATTGACTAACGAATCGTTTTTCATTGAGTCAACAATGATGCAACACTAATACTAGCGATGTGGAAAATTCGACTATCACAAAAAAGAATATGCGGTGATAGGACTATAAAAATAAGATGTCGAAAGTTGTGTGATCACATTGATATGATTATGAGTAGTAACAATTTATGCTCGAAATGTAATCAAGTAAATAATACTGTATAGCTCAATGTGTGTAATAAATCAAATAAACAAATCTAATATGGAATTGACCATCTTTATCCCCACCACAATAAATTAGGTTTTAAGTCCATATCTCCTTTTTCTGTCAATTCACGACAGAAGTGAGAAATTATTCAATAAATCCCCATAAACCTCAAAATTGAATTCGCTTTTTTATATTCCAGTCATAAATGGTTCATATAATTGATTCTCATAATAATTTCTGAGAATGTCAGGAAAAACACTTTGTAGACGAAACGATTTAGTCCAACCTTTCGGCTACCTGTCAGGTACATACAGAATTAAGTTTACACCGGGATTATTAGCATACTTTAAGCTTTGTTTGCTTGATGATGACTAGTAATGGAATCACGGATTCATATTTTGTCATATTTGGGGGCATTCAGCTGGATCCACCTGGATTCCAGTGAGTGGATGTTCTCCTACGGTGACTTGGATCTAGCAGTCATTATTTCAAAATGCATAGTGTAATCCATCATGCTAATTAGTCATGAAACCTCTTATGTCATGCATATCCTTGATTATTTACTGATTACCTTAACTTTCTGATGATTATTGTACTGGTCGAAATAAATCGGTCTTTTTTAGCGCATTAGCTTCTTGAACGGATACTTTGATATAAGCGTGTTGAAAATGAGATTAAGTTTAACAGTAGCCTAATAATTTGAGATAATCAGTTGAAACACAAATAATAATCCAGATGAAAAATCAGTCATAATAATGTCAAACTGTAGAGTTGTAAGGAAGGAGAGGTCCAACAAACAGTAATCTTAGCAAGATATTGCTTTAATAAACAACTATGGAACTATATTACTATAAAACTAATCGCAAAACATCCAAACAAGTGTGATTACCAGAGTGTAGGTGTAGAAATTAGAATTGCTTGATTGAGAATTGAAGAAAGCATTTCAAATGTCCAATATAAGTTTATTTGATTTATTACACATATTGAGCTGTACAGTATTATTTACTTGATGACGATGTTCCCAGCATAAGTTATCATTCCTCATAATCATATCAATGTAATCACACTACTTTCCACATTTGATTTTCATAGTTATGTCACCTCATATGATTCTTTTATAGGTGTTGCGTCATTTCTCTTACAAGTGTTGAGTGTAGATTCGATGAACAAAGATTCATTAATCAATCTCCCTCCCTCTCTCTCTCCATCTAGCTATGTTGGACTTAAGTAAAGTAGTCTACAGAAAATCATCTGCGGAAAACAGACACATTCCAGCAGGTATCTAGACTTCAAGTCATCTCATCCCATGTCAGTTAACGCACGTTCAGTCAAATGTCTAAGTGATAGAGCTAGAAAGCTGACTAGTCATTGCAAAGACCTGAACAATATAAAAGAAGCGCTGATAATTAATCATTATCCTCTCCAGTTTATGAAGGAATTAGTAAGAACAGATAAGAAACGAAATAATAACAGTAACACAAGTACGAATAATAACAACAGCACGAGTAGAAAGCAGTTCACAGTCCCCATTGCGCTACCCCATAATAAAGGTACATCAGCAACTTTACGCAGGATCTTCAACAAAAACTGGAATTATGGTAGCATTTTAACCTACAAACTAACTCAGAGATAAGCTTTGTTGGCTGACTTAAGGATACGATAAAACCAATTAAGGAAAATAATGCAATCTATCAAATTCATGTATGGACTGAGAGCTCAAGTATATAGGTCAAACTAGCTGGTCGGGGTCAGTTAGTATATAGCGGAACACAAAAATGTAGTCCAATGTAGAATGATACACCCGAATATGATAAATTATGTGAATAGAAAACTCGGCTATTGTAATGTGTGCATCAACACACAACCACGGAATAAGATGGGTGGGATAAAGCCACTGCACTTAATTGCATTATAATTAGGTGGAGAGAGAGGGAGAGATTGATTACTAAATCTTTGTTCATCGAATCAACACTCAACACGTCTAATAGGAATGATGCAACACCTATAAACAAATCATATGAGGTGACATAACTATGAAAATCAAATGTGGAAAGTAGTGTGATTACATTGATATGATTATGAGCAATGATAACTTATGCTGGGAACATCGTCATCAAGTAAATAATACTGTATCCCGTGAACCACATATGAAATAAACGAATTTAATATAGAATCAAATTCTACACCACAGTGCCCAAAGTTTGCACTTATAGTCATTATCATAAAGTTTGATGAGCGCACCAAAAGTGTCTCAGAATGGTTGTGACCAGGTACACACGTTAAATCACGTTCCTACGAAGAAGAAGCTGTATACAATTCTCATAAGCAATAACAGCTATCAACATCGAATCAAGGAACAACACACAGCAACTTCTGGTGTTAAACATCTAACGGTACACATAATTGAGCACTCAGGTTTAGGCATTGATACAGTCAAAAGTGACACATACACACACACATACACACCAAATGGTAGACATTAATAAATCACAGTTGATAATAGATAATGTTGTATTACATCACAAAATGCAGTGATACCGATAATAACAATAACGCTCATGATAGGAATAATAATAATAATCATAATCATAATACTGGATTTAATAAAAAAAATAAGTGACAAGTGTAACAAACCAGTGACGGTGGTGATGATGAAGACAACAGAAATGAAAAACAAATAAATAGACAAAAAGCGCCAACAGTGTGAGAATTACAAATAAAAAGTAGAACAGAAAAACTGTGGAAAGCATAGAAAATAATGAAAGTGATAAAAATGCTGCACAGTTGAAGATTACTGCAAGAGAAATGATCACAAAACACTTTGAAAAGTGATTGGGGGCGGGTTGGGAAGAAAAGCACATTAACTATTAGTATCTATCGCAAAGATATTGATGGTAATTTAAGAGCTGGCAAGCACAGGTCAACACGATTCATCCAAAAATTAGCACATGAAATATGATAATAGCAACCAGCTAAATTAATATGTGCCAAATGATGAATTGCTTGTCGATGAGGTGGGGAGGGGATAGAAGGAGAAGTGGTTGACTCATTAACACGATCATTAATGCATTGACCATCAAGTGGATTGATTGGTGAAAGACATATTCCACAATATGACAATGCACTTGTATTCATAAAATCTTGAATTATATTCTCACTTTCTGATACTGAAAGCGATTTTAATGCTTGGTCAGTTTTACTCTGAAAAAGAAAACATGAAAAATAACATCGATAATGCCGAAAAACCTTGTTATTCTCATTTCAGACAGAAACATATCTATTAACTTTTATCAGTATGAAGCTGTGACTCATTGGTTTGAAATGATTTGCAACCACTGGGTCACGGGTTCGAGCCCCGTTCCATGTACCGATGTTTGGGCAGCAAGATAGTATAATACAATAGGTGTGGTTCAATGTGTACAGAGATACTAAGAACATTTCGATTTCGACTGGTTTTCATTTACTCAACAGCTTAGGATAAAGCGAAATTCAAGCAAGCATACGAAAACAGAAAGGATATTTTTCGTAAGTAGATCATAAATGCGATTTATCATCAGTGTGACTCATTAATTAATCTAATCTGATCTTACAGGAAGTCAATCATGGTCCAGATAGCTTAGGGATAACTTCTCTGATTAGAATACTGGTTTAAATCTCTGAGGTTGCAAATACACTTTGACGACAGATGCTGGCGAGCTTGAACCCCAGGTTTAGGGATCCTGTCGACTGCCTTTAACCACCTAACCTCAATCTTTTATTTCTAGACAGCAATCATCTGACACTTTAATAATGTTGAAGCTACCAGCAGTAATCACAAAATAAACACAAATAAATCACATCACTATTAGGCATTGTTAACAAGAAGTGTTGAGATAACCATCTATTCGATGTACACGCTCAAACCTATACTAGAAATACTCCGAGCACAAGGGTTCAAACCTAAGGGTTGACAGAAATATGCAACTGGACAGTAAATAAGCATAGGGCAAAGCAACAAAGCTAGGTATGAATTCATAGTGACAAAATTCTACTGTTTATCGCATCTAGACAGGATAGTTACCGATATCTGCTGTCGTTTGCTTAGGGTTGATCTGGTTCTATGAACTAAGATTCTCATAAGACCAATAACTAAAACAACTTGGAGAATAAGTTGTATGTGTAGTTGGATATTTGCAGATAATCAGCAGTAAAATCTGAACCGCACTCTATGAAAGGCATCTGAAGCACCGAGGCATTCAAAGAAATCGAAAACTGCATAAGCCAGCCTTATAGTAAGAAATTTTGTTGACGCTAAAAAAAGGCTGTTAATGATTACCATATATATGAAATACTAGGTCATGAAAACACCTACGACTTATCATAGTACCATGGACATTTTGTATACAATATCATACATCGACTTCATATGGAGTTGCAAGGAACAGATATGTTGAATCACATTCCATTTATGAACCAGGTAAAACTGGAATCTAAACAAAAGTTAGCGATAAAAATCGTATAAAATATCTCACGAAGTAGTTTTTCCAGAAGTTTTGTCACTTGTTAATTTTGTGTGTGTTTTATATCTCCAGTTGTTACTTGTTACAGTGACTACTTGATACAACCCACGTTGTGCGAACCCTTGGACAATAACCTTCAGACTCTACCTCCTGATGATCGTTCGTTTTTCTCGACAAATGGAAAAAGTCAATGCGATAGCAGATGTATTGTAACATCAATAATATATACAAAATACAAGGGTTTACATATATTTGTAGTGGTCTTGGCTATTTCCAGGCCTTTCTAGATTTGAATCCTATTCATGTTTCATCTCTTCAACCAATCTGATATTTACACACTGTTTCGTGTGCTCTCTCTCGAAATTTCGGTGCAAAACGATTGGCTGTAACAGGCTTCAGAGATTTACAGTTTCTTATGAAGATTTCGGTAATCTTATCCCACACTATAACAGTGTATGTGTATGGTGCAAGGGTAAGTCTTTGATAAGACTTATGCTGAGGATAGCAGGTTCAAGAACAGAATACTACACTGATATAATCAACAGATGATATTTGCAGATAGTTATTGCGCTTAAACAGAATAGCCAAATCAAAGTGAAAAATAATCCATCTTTTACTTCAAAGAAACCACAAGTCATACTAGCTTTTTCACATCCGTATAAGATAGATGGAACAAGTAAGAGATAGACATCCCGAAGTTCTATTGAGAAGTCGTGACCCGTGGGGCCTACCATAGGTCAAATGAAGACTACAGTGGAGAGTCGCACTACGTCGCGAATTGACAGAAGTGCAAAACTGTGGGTTATTGAACTTTGACCCCATGGTCTACACGTTCGCCATGACACCTGGAGGTCTTGACTTCAACCCCTGATGAGATCGTGGATGCATATAGTTGGGTAGTCTCATACCAGGGCGAAACAGATAGCTATCCAGTGTTCCTAGATTTTTAAAGGTTCGCCAACTAATGTTAGCCCGTGGTGCATACTACCTTAAGAGACATAAATAAAAAATTAAGCTGCTTAAATCCCTATTCGAAGTAATATAGGAAAGGAAAATTGAAACTGAAAAGTTACAACATTTCGAATAGTATTATTGTAACAAGTTATATAATAAGTTATGTGAAGAATACTAACAACAAGGCGAATTCTACATTGTTGGTTAAAAGATTGGAATGTAAGATTATTAATTGTCGCAAAGTAGATAAGTGAGTTCTGTCCGAACACCGTTTTCTCGACATGATATGCGTACCGGGTTAAACATAGTCAAATTCTTGTATTTAGCTGTACGAGCGTACAGTCTTATGCGATTTCTTCTTGTTCTTCCTGAGAAATAAGCAAAGAGCTGTGAATTAAGTGTATGCTCAGTGTTAGTTAAACCTAGTGTAGCTAGTCATCTGCTAGATTTTAAGTAGCTGTCAACTACAGTGTAAATCAGTTGAGCCAGAGGAACCGCAATTACCTTACTGACGGCTTTCAAAACCTGACGCAATAGAACGTAGTTCTTTTTTAGTACACCAGGAAAGATCAACGTGGAACAATAGAGAAGAATAAGTAAACTGCAAGAATCAATGGGCTTTAAAAGTAGAGGCTGAGTTAAACCGTAGAGTCTCAGTTTCTTTATGTAGTATGTTACATGAAAGACTTTCTTGGAAGTTAACAAGATATGAGACGACCAACAAAGACCAAAAGTAAAATTTAATCCAAGATATTTAACACTCGATTTACCTCCTACAGCAATACCATCAATGCAACAGGAGTTATGGAACCTAGGCAGCTTAAACAAGCCTTCTCTTTATGCCTGAGGCTAAAATTAACAGTCAGACCATTTGAGAAAGACCACTAGTCAATTTCAAACAGGAAACTAAGTCAATTCACAGACTTCATGGATACGTGGCAGGTCTTAGTCTACTATGAGTTTTTAAACAAAATAATTTCGCTTCTGCTAATACTAAACATAGGGAGAGACGGAAGTTCGACAAATCGAACACGTTATCAAATCATATCTGTTACAAAAAATTATAAACTTCATCAAACGACTTCACTTCTTTATCTCAAACTCTAATTTTAGCCCATATGCTATAAAAATGGTAGTTACACCATCTGACAATAGCTTTTTTTCAATACACATAGTTATCCTGTGACCAACCTTTACGGGTAACGTCCAATAACAATATATGTGACCTAAGACATCAGGATATCTCATTTTATTCAGAAAATATTTCAGTTGTCAGATGCCAGATGAGTCTTTACGATGATTCCACCAGCAAACAAACAATTAATATTGATAAAAATAGTCAACACACTTGACTAACTTAGTACATACCTTTAAACCAGATGTTAATGCACTTCAACCCTATGGCATTCGTTTATACTTGACAGGTAGACAGAACATATTAAATACTTAGATTCGGATTCGTTAAAAAAAGTATATCATTTAGGTATAAGAGTTGAGTGGGAGATCACTAGAAGTCAAGAGTCAACAAAGTCATCTAGATAGATTCATTAAGTGAACTATTCTTATTATTGTTCCCCGGACACAGGTACACAGCCTTCAGTAATTGACACCGCCTTCCAAAAATAAAAACAACATAATGAAATAATGTAGTAGACAGTAAAAAATGATTACCTTTAGAGCACTGGTAACAGCAAACGATGATAACTCATGGAATAAATTTTCGATATCTGAAAATTCTTGTTGCATAGATGGATTGAGAACACCTGAATGAAATTTATAAAAAGGGAAAATAGAACGAATAAGAACTAGGTGTTTGTTTCCAAAGTGTCTCCCTAGTCATCAGCATCAATATCAACATACGACCAGGCATTACTGCGTAACGATCCGACTTGACACAGCTCACGTCAGTACATCAAGTAGAAAGGTAGTGAGGTGAATAATGAAGATAAGTGAATGCAGTCAAAAGAAATATAAAGTACAAGAAGAAAGGAAAGAGGAGTGACAAAATGGTGAGATTCGGTATGGCGTTGTTAAGATGAGGATAATGTGTGTATACATCTGCGCCACTGACATCGCTTCTCAGCCATATCACCTAGGGTCTCCAACCACTGGTTCCTCTTGTCCCTCCGACCCCAACCACCTAGTCTGCATCGTCCTACATAGCTTAAACCAACAGTCAGAGACTTCATACATTCGTGCCATGTTTTAGTCTGGCCACCTCGAGCCTTTTTCCAGCCTGGACCCACCTCAGCCAACATTGTGTGATGAGGCAATCGGTGACTAGGTATACGCAACACGTGTCCCAACCATCTCAGTCGATGAAGGTTCATAACCTCGTCAACCGACTTACCTCTTCTCCCCAAAACTCTACATCTGACTTCTGCATTACTCACGTGGTGACACCACGGAATACGTCCTATACGACGAAGGCAACGGTGGTCAAACACCTGAAGCCTTTTTATATCTTCCACTTTAAATGGCCATGTTTCACGGCCATACAGTAGAACAGAGGGGACTGCTGTGCAGTACACGCGACCCTCAATAGACAAACGGATATCACGGCGGCGCCATAGGTGGCGCAAATTAGCAAAAGCCAATCGAGCCTTTTGTATCTGTTTGATAGGCTCAGCTCCCCTATCTGAGTGTTCAAGTCAGCTACTGCTATGACTATGCTTGAACAGTTTTCTCAAATTGACAGCTTTTGATAGTACTAATCCTTCGTATTATCCGCACTGCAATCAGTGGGTAGATAGGCACAGATTACGAATAGGCATCGACGCTGCCGCAATCCTTCACGATTTTTGCAGATCAACTCAATCAGTCAGCACACAGATGGCTACAGACTAGTATCCACTTAAGAAGTGCCCTTTCTTCTCCACAACTTAATACTATGTTTACATCAGCCGGTTCATGAGAGCTGGTCACTCGTAAAGTGAATGTTTCAGATCCACCACATTCTTCAGGTGAGTAAGCACATTTATGTGTCTCAGAAACAGCATACATCCATAGATCGCGACTCGAGAGTTTCGGCAAGAGACTTCTGTTTTTCTCTTTGAAATAGGGTTCGGACGTTGAAAATTCCAACTTAAAATTTACAGCGCAGTTTACGGAAACTAGGGGTGAGGTTTTGCTGGCTTGGATCGCAAGAAATAATTGCACATTGAGAGATTATGAAAGTTGTAAGAGGCTTATTATTGGTATCAAGAAGTGCAGGCAAGGGAAGCGAGGAAAGAAAGTTATAGTTAGTTGGGTTTTGTAAACTGCTGAAACAGCGACCCACATGATGGAATTTTTTTCTGTGAAGTATCTAACAGAGTAAATTGACTAGTTTCTGCTAACAGCATATCTCATGGGACATATGCAAGAGGCCGATTACACACCTTTAAGTGTTGCATTGCGATTTAATTGAGCTGATACTGAACAAGAATAGACCATATTGCCGACATCTGAACACCAGAAAGCAGGGGGGTGTTATTTTTTCAAGCCAACTCTTTATATCATTCCCCTAGCTACGAAAAAAGAGAGCATCAACGTGGCATTGGTGGTCAGCTACGGGGAAACATCACACTGCCGTTTCATCCCCGTTCAATCAACAAAGCGACTTCGCCCTAAAACCCTCATCATAGCGTGGCGAACCAAACCATAACGGTAACTACTTTTTGTCTTACCACTATCCAATAGACCTTTCTGGAATGGTAGTTTTTCGAGGGAACAAGTGTTCCCACCAGCATAGTTCATTGAGTCCGACCCGTCTGTCAAGGTAGCAGTTATCGATCGGGTTTATGACAAGTAGAACTAAATCGCAGGCCCCACTCCTAGTAGTGTTGCACTTAGTAACTTCTTCACTCTTCGCCACTCCATCGGCTTTTTTAAGATCACAAAACCTACAGGTTTTCAGTAGACTGGCTAATATGTCAGTTATTAATGGAAATTAATGAGCATTTGTTAATATTTCTTGATAACCTGACTGACAATATTCAGGTGTAGAAAAGGAATATTGAGTTTTATGCATATGTAACAAAAGTGTATTAAGAGATTACAGTGGTTTAACTTATGACTTTCACTGTACTTTCTTATTAAGTGACTTGCTAAGTCGCTTATAATTCTGACTGAGCAGGTGATTACTTTGTATAAAACTATACGCCAACTTAAACATGGTTAACTTGCATGAATTTCTCCTAAACTTCCGGTTGACAGAAGACAGCATAGATAAGGGTAGGGATATTTTTTAGACAGGAAAGGGAGTTGATTGGTTTTGTTTAAAACGTAGTTATTTGGGAACCCGAAACCGTAATTAAATCAATTGAGGGAGTCGATAAAAAGCTCTTGAGCTAAGTTACACAATAATACTACAAAATAAGTCTTGAGTAAAATGTCTGCTAGAATAAATAAAGTAATATGATGAAAGATGCTTGTTTGGAGTCCATATTTCCTTTAAATCAGTAGATATAACGAATCGATTTGAAATGCGCTCATAAGCACCGCGCATTTTTGCATAGTAGGCGATGAGCTATATCTATTGTGTGAGCGAATGATACTAACTGGTTGCTCACACTTAGGTATAGATGGAGCGGGTTTTCAACTTGTGATCAGTTGGTTGAAAGGTGAGTGTTTAGAGCAACAAGCCATAAGTGATACATTTATTTCCCTGGAATTAGTTGTAAGCTTCCGATTCCCACTATTTTATATGTACTATAGTTAACGAGAAATTATCGCATAGATATAAATGAAATGGAAATGACGTTCGCTGTTTAACAGGTATATAACTTACTGTACTTTCTAGCTGACAGGTTGATTCGTCTAGCCATCAGATAGATTTCAGTAATATCTGAAATAAAATAGGAAGTTATAATTATAATTATGTGTTGGAATGCCCCAGATCTGGTATAAAACATTACTTATTAATTCAACTATTTTTAAATTGTAGTTTTCGCGCCATTCAATACCTGCTTTTACCAAGTTAATGTTTTGAATTCTGGACAAGGTCATATGTTGTGTATATATACGTCCACATGTGTATTTTGCGTTGACTATTCTTCTGGGAGGTAATAAACTCTCCCATCTAGTTTAGTCTTCTTCTCTATTTTGTCCAGGTTGCAGTCGGTGGATTTGATGTGTAAAGTTAGGTGTTCAGCAAGCGTTCGTGCTGTGTCCACTCAGGGACATGATAATAAGTCTGACTACTGATAAAGTACTAAGATTTAAAGGAGTTATTCTTTTAACCGACAAAGAAATCTGATACACGACAAACAAACATACCTTTGTGTAGAAACTCTCACAAAGAATAAACAAGTTTTATCTGATTAGATTCAACTCAAGTTATTTCAGTCAAAATCCCATAAACACTAAGTACACAGAAACTGTGGAAAGGAGATAAACAAAATGTAAGATACTAATAAAAAAATGAATTTCAGTCACTCAGTGGCAAAGTAAAAACTTGACAGTAAAAACACACCAAGGTATGTGATTCTCCACCGACTGACTTCCAACAGCTGACACAAAATAAAGTGTGTCACAGACAGACAGAGAAAATAGACACAGAACCTCACATACAAGTGTATCACAATATACTGTCACTTAGAGTTTAGCGGTTACATTGTAAACTTCGGCCAGTACCTAAGCAAAACAATGATCACCAATTGACAAACAATCCATATACATACACGATTAGGTTTGGGATTAAAATTCCAGACAGTGAAACTATGGTAGTGTCTAGAAGAAAAATAGGTACTGATTTTAAAGATACAATAAAGGTTATCGAAAATTCTTTTGTCAAAAAAACCTACTTACCCTCTTACAGATGTTAAACATATGCGTGTGACACACTGTGAGGCTAGTCCATTGAAGTAAGTACAGAAATGGCACATTATTACTCTGTATCACCTACGATGTCTTAAAGTGGCTGGAATCCCATTTTAAATGGCTACAGTATAGGTTCGGCACGCTAAGGATAGGTGACAGACGTTAGTATTCAGTAGATTATAGTTCATATACAGAATTAACATAGTACAATTTTCACTCGTTAGTAATTCCCTAGCATTCATATCATATCGATACCGTTAGAGTAGGATATTGTCTCTAAACAATTTCTTAGATAATCTGGATGCAGTTCAAAAAAGGGGTTAACGGATAAACACATTTGCTAGCGGAATCATAGACGAACACTACTGAGGAGTGTCAAACTAGGATGAAAGAGGTTCGTAATGAGTCTTTGGTTTATGTCGGTCAGTGATAGTAAAAAAAACTCCTCTAAAATGGATCGATTCCACGTGAACCTCTAAATTACACATCAATATACCTGGTTGACTAACCTAGTTATAAAACAGTTAACTAACATCTGTCTTCGATAAAAATCTTTGTCAATGTTTACCCTCACTTTAAAATAACTCAAAAATGCCTACTTCATTTCTTAACATAGATGCGAATCGGAGGGAATCTCAATTACAACCTCCATTACTGGTTTGAAGATAATATTTATCCTGAAGTGATATTCGTAAAAGTACCATTCAATAACTAAAGAGCAATGGACTGTAACTGGTTTCCTTGGAGTAAGCAGACGACACTGTCATGTTAGGTGAAGACGTTGAAGCAATGTAGAGTCTTCTGAACGCCTGAAGTAGAAATCTATGTTTGACATACGTTTCACACTTGTCGCATGTATTGATGCTTCAGGACTGGACTGTAGCTACTTCCAATTTAGGGATAACGAGAGAAGCGTTAGATTGCGTCGACCGCTTCATTTACTTGAGGAGCTGCATCATCTTGAACGGCCTCTTTGCAACCAAAATCTCGGATAGGGATACCGAAGGGTCTTTCGGCATTCGCTAACATGTGTCATCTCAGGCACCGACAGGTGAGATACCCGACTACACGTTAAAGGACAATTATGCTTAGCTGCAGTCCGTTCTGTCCCGTTATACAGCCGCGCGGTATGACCGTTGAAAGTAGACGATAGGAAGCGATTGAAAGTTTTATAAAACATAAGTCTTCGTAGCATTCCCCAAGTGTGGTAAAATCAATGTGTGAGCAATGTCGAAGTCATGCGAAGGGTACTAGGTAAGTCGGTTGGTCAAATTGTAAACCTAGACCAACTGAGGTAGCATGGATATGTGTTCGGTATAACAGGCCACCGCCTACCTTGATATACAATGTTAGCGGAAGCAGGATTAGGTTGGACAAAGATTCATGTTGGCCATACCAGGACGTGGCATCAACTCACGAAGTGTTTGACTATTGGTCTGAACAGTGTAGGGAGGCGAAGACTACCAGGCTAGGGTCTCCGAGATAATAGAAATCAGGGGTTGGTGATTTTTGGTGAAATGGCTGGAAATCAGTCACAATGGTGCAGATGTATTCACTCTCTGACTTCTAAAACTTGAGTATTTTCACTCATCTCCATCTCCAAATTGTTTATTCTTTCATAGACCTTTGTCTAACTTGATGTAAATCTTTTTCGATCCACTAGTTCTTTGAATGCTACTGTGAAGTGTGGAAACTGCAGCCGATACTAATCTATGCGAAATTCCAAGTTGGTTTTGTCTATCTGTCAGTCCATTCACCATCAAACACAATCTGATTGAAACAATCTTAAACCTAGTTATTTATTAAGTTAATAATAATGGTCCACTATTACCCTGGTTTCAGAAACCTTATTTTCCTTATTATTTTTACGCTAATGGCAAAAACGTTTAGTCAACTACATAGTCACATTTCAGTACAATTTTGTCCGTACACAGACAGATTTTTCAAGCAGTGAACAGCTTCAAAATGGTAGGCTGCTGGAAATGAAACTCCCACATGCTGAACTGACAGTTTCATCACCCGTACAAGCATACATACGTTGATTACATACAATTAGCAAATCCCTTGAAAAAGATTATTTTTAAAAAGCTATGCCGTCAAGTTGATAATTTAGAATCTGAAGAGATTCAAGGGATCAAACATAAACAATCCACAACTATTTACAAAACATCAAGTACAATCTGTAGATATAAAGGCATATGAAATTATTTGCTAAGATGGTTGTGCATGATAATACTACTTTAACAACTGGAAATTAGTCACACTGATTATCATTTACGCCAAAATAATATCTCACAACAAGTGGATTGAGCGATAGTTGTCTTGACAACAGAACTGAAAATGTGCCTAATTGAAAAGATTATCAATAGCCATATCACTACGACTAAATTGTTGAGGCAAAAATCTATTACAATGACTACTGAAGTCCTGAAAAGAGAATATAGCCCAAAGGATTTTGAAGTGAGGCTCTAGAGTTGAAGTAAAACATACGAATCGTTAGCTAGATGTACACCTACACTCCAGTGAGTGATGTCGTTCCCATTGAGACTTGAATCCACTACCCATAACTTCAAACGCCTAAGCGTTATCTACTAGGCCACTGGAGTATGACGATCACTTCTTGTGCAACGAGTATAAGTCATTATTTTCTGAAACTGGTAATTCCCTGCTGTTGGCAGATGGGTTCCTATACAGATGTTTCGATATTCCCTGATTATTTATCATGTTTTAATTGAACAAACGTCGATCAATTCGATCCACAAATAACAATGGAAAATTACACGTATAAATACAAAACAACTAATACCCGTTACACAAGAGGTGGCTATCGTACTCCAGTGGTTTAGTAGATAACGCTTTGGAGTTTGAAGCGATGGGTAATGGTCCAAGTCCAATGGGAACTACACCACTCAGTGGAAGGTGGGTAAATCCAGTTGACAAATCTCAAATAGGACGAAACGAGCATCCTGGATCCCAGTGCCAGCCACCAAGTAGACTACAATATAATGAATATCTGCAGGGCATCGAGGCATCCAGATAGGAGCTCATCTGCTAACAGGCGCTGAACAATTCCATGCAATATAGTAACGGGAAATTACAAGTATCAATAAACAATAAAAAAACACGACATTTACATGGTTCTTTCGAAAAAATACATGATAAGAACATAAAACGATAAAATACTTCACTATATTAGCTGGTGAAATTGAACATACCCAATAAGAAATTTGCTCCTTCTTCACTTTCTGCAAACTCGATCCGATCTTTAATAGTGTCAAGTGACGACAAAACGGAAAGAGATTCATTGAATACTTTCAAGCACTCAGTTAAACAGAACAGCCATTGTTCACGCAATGATTCTGAAGAATTTACTTCACACTGAGAAAAAAAATATGAGTTACAAATAGTTATAATATTTAAAAAAAAACTATGTAATTGTCAGTATTATTTGAAAATATAAGTACAGCTATGGTGTATGCTACTAATTAGAATGCTTACCACCAGTGTTATTCTGATAAGAAGTAATACATAGCGTTGATGTCTCATAACTATGCAAACGTCATATTGACGTGACATGATAAAACCTTCACATTTTAAGCATGAACTTTAAGGGCACAACTGATGATACAGATTAATCCCCCTCCCTCCTTAAACATCTGACCTTCACATATTTCAGTAATGCGAAAATTCCCATTTAGATATTTAGTAAAACAAACAATGTGAGCGAAGGAATATTTCTTTTCATAAGCATATAACAGTCTATTATAAACAATAGGGTATAATTACATCATTAACCTAGTGCTAAAAAACCGGAATCAAGAATGCAAAGTAGTTGCGTAATAACTAAGACAGTAGAAATATCGAGGAAGGCAAGGAGTTTGACAAGGTGAAAATTGTTGGTAGATAAGGAACGCAAATATTGGGTGTCCACCTGATAGATAGGTGTAAAGAAGGTGAAGAATGAGACAAGGGTCATAATGAAGGTGATAATATTAAACTAATTAATCGAAGGTGGATGGAACTATAAAAAGAAGTGTGTATCGGAAACCAACGTCAACAGGTCAATACACCCACTTCTTGAGTTTCGTCCCCTTGCAATATAAACGAAATCTAGTTAAATGTTTGGTCCATCGGGCTAGACTCATCTGTTCAGATGATACTTTCGACGAAGAGCTTCAAATTATCCACGATCTACTCAGTAGTAATGGATATCCAGAAACGTTTCTGGCTAAAAATATGGACACAACCAATTTGAAAACTAGAATGCCTACAGTCTCCAAGAAACCATTGTTCCTAAGACTACAATTTCGAGGTGACATCATCAGCGAAATTGAGACACAACGCTTAAGAAATGCCATAGGAAGATCATTTAATGCCGCCAAGTTATGTTGTGTTTTCTACAGCCGGCCGATGATGACCACACGAACTAACAACAGACTACCTGACTTCTCCTCTTCTATGTGCATTTACCAGTTGAAACGCTCCTGTGGAGCTAGTTACATTGGACGTACAGTTAGGCAAGTCCGTCGTCGAATCGCCGAGCATCACCCTTCATGGCTAAGTAAGGGGGAAACCAGATCCATAGGAAGCTTAGTACTCTCTCATCTGATTGACACCGACCCAAAACAATGTTATTGTCCTAATATACTAAAAGTGTTTACATATCTACATCAATCTGATAGAACATGGATGACAGGAAATCAATATTCAGAAATCACTCAAAGTAATTAACAAGCAAGTAAACTTGAAATTTACCAAATATTGCTGAATCAGTCGATAATAAGTGAGTTAAGTCGAACTTATGTACTCAGAAATAAGACGAAATCAACAAAGAACGTAGCAAGCAAGTGCGTCGGTCCAAGTTACCACACTTCACAGTAGTACACAACAAACGAGTGAAGCTACAACTGAATAAATTATGCTCTGGGTGTAGGTATGTCCACTCTAATCTAGGTTTGTCGGAAATGAGAGGGAAGTCAAGAGACGAAACACAATTCCTGTGGAATGTAAAAGAAGATTGACAGGAGGACTTTGTGAGTTTCATATTACCTTGTAAAGCGAATAATTTTGAGAGGAGAGAAAAAAATACCTCACTGTCGAACACCTCAGAGTAAAGCTATGCACTTTTGAAGGACAACCGACTGCTTACTGGAAATTTATTATACAGTTCAATTTGCACGTTGCATTGAAGGTCGAAGATGATGCTCAACGTTTATTGTACTTGTTACACTATTGTAAAAAAAGGAGGCTATAGAAGGTTGCATTATGCTGCTGCCATCTTCCGGTTACCGGGAAGCTTGCGAGATATTGAGATACCTATATAGTCAAACCTATGAGGTAGCCAGTGCTTTGTTGAAAGATTTGATTGACGGTCCTGGCATAGAGTACAGAGATGGCAAAGGATTATCGCGGTTGGGTACGAAAATGGAGAATTGTGCCATAGCGTTAGAATAAATGGATTATTCAACCGACCTCAACTATCTTGGAACACTAGAGTGTACAGTGAAGAAGCTGCTCCAAAGTGTACAAATGAAGTGGGCAGGAACTGTGGAAAGAATGATGAACAATGTTTGTGAGCCAAAGCTCTTAGAGCTGACCGAGTTCGTATCGTCTTGAGCAAGAATGTTGATGAGTAGGCTTGGTCAATTAGCTACCAGCAATGAACGAAGCCCGAACCGAGACGGTATGCACAAATAAATAAAAAGACTAGGCACAGAATATCGTAATATACCCGATTTTAACACATTTGTTGAAGTAATTTGCATAGACTTTTCAAAACAAGCATAATTTGAGCGAACAATTGCTTTCAATAACTCTCTTCCTCTTCATGCTCTACTACAGTCATAAATCCATGAGAATAGGTGAAATACAATACCCAATGTAAGGTAGAACGCAAATTATTTCAATCCTGAAACAGTCAGTATTATGAAAGAAGAATGGAAATCAAATATCAAATGGTTGTAAATGTTTGATAGGTTAGAAGGCTAAACACTCTATGGTCTTAGTTGTGCATGAAAGTCGAAACAAACAGAACAATCACAGTATTAGGAAGCAAACATACGAGGAAAACCTGGGCACTATGGTAAATTATCTGTTTATTAGATGTCTCATACTGAAACAGTACTATTTACTGCACAGCATTTTGGGGGATAATTCATTGTCCATATTCATATCTAGTAATTCCACAACTTTGAGACATGGCTTATATAGGGTAGCAGAATTTTCCATATATCTGGGGTAGGTGCAGAATGTTTTTGGTGGTGAATCGACAAACAAAGATCTCGTTATCAATCTCTCCATCCACTGGGCAGCTTTCCAGTGCTTCTAGGTTTCCACTGGTTCGCCAACCGATGTCAGTCCATGATGAATTACTCTCAAATGCATCTTAGTGATGAGATTCTCGAAGTTCTGATGAGGATTCGTGACCGGTGGGGTCAACTAAGTCGGATGTGAGGACAATTACTCAACGATGACATTGGATGGAGGTCGCGCCATATCGTGAATTGACAGAAGTAGAAAGTATGGACCCTTGAATTCCGACCCAGTGGCTCAGTGGTAACGTGACAGCTGCGGAGCGTGAAGGTCCTGTGTTCGGCCCATGGCGGGGTCATGGGTATGTACTGCTAAGGAGTCCCATGCTAGGACATAAAAGCTGTTCAGTGCTCCTAGGTTCCCAATGGTTCTTTGACTGGTGTTAGTCCATAGCGAATATAAACTAGAAATCAGTTTGACCATCTGAGATAGCCGTGTTTTGGTAAACTTACATTATTGTTACTTGGTGATAATTGAAGGCGAAATGGAAATCAATATGATGCTCCTCCTCTCTAATTCAAGTTGATTTGGATAGGGATGAGAAGTCGTAGCAGGGTAGTCAGTGTGAATATGATCAAGCGATAGTAACGCATCACGAATTCACACGGCAGTCAGGAAAAACCCTTAGTGGTTGAAGTAAAATTAAGATATGGCCAGTTTACAGGGCACCGGGCCAGAAATCTGGAGGTCGCTAGTTCGAATCCTGCCTCAGATTTTCATTTCACCCAGTATAAATAAGCAATTGTAGAAAGTAATAAAAATTGAATCTATCTAACCTTTAAATCGACTGAATCCAGACCATTTAAAACAGTTTTCTTTGTTGTGAATTTAATATAGTAATATTTGATGAAAGTGATGACGACGATGAATTGGGATGATGAAATGCATCAGAAGCTTCAACAGACTGTTTTAAATAACAACAACCATTGGAATGACTAGTTTGAAAATCTCCAAATTCTTCATCTAGTAAAGAACTGTATGCACTAGAAAATAAATGAAATAGACAGAAAGGCAGTAAAGATTGACATGAAACACCTACTGTTGAATGGGAAGAATATGTGTGCCGGATTCGACTTCTAACCACTAACTAATTATATATATATATATATATATATATATATATATATATATATATATATATATCAGTTAACTAAGTGGAAGTGTGCAGAGATCGGTGCGAGTAGTGCTTAAGTGTGTATATGCAGATAAGCTCATTCCACAGTGTCGACAGTGATGAAAAAGGAAGCTCAAAATACGCTTGACATGGCTCAAGAAGATACAACCTTCTTTTTACTGTCATACACAACAAAAGACCAGATATATACGAATATAGATCCGAATCGTCAAATCACATCAGGATAGTAGGAAAAAGGTATTTAAGAGAGAAGACAAAGCAGATAGTAGGAAAGTTTGAGAGCGTAACAACATAAGGGAGTAAGAGATGTAAAATAATACGATATTTGAGACTTGTAGGCAGATAAGGCGTTACTATAGTAGACTTCAAGATATTCCATCTAAATTCTCTAACTACTGACTTCCTTTGTCATTCCGATCCCAACTGAGAAATCTATGGAGCTTCTTATACCGCTGAGAATAGACAATTTGAAACGCCAAGGACTAGTGAAATGTATATATTATCTTTATCGTCTCAGGCTTATTTGCTGTTGTGGATATTTGCTTGCAGTATTTTAAAATATGTTTATATGAAACAAAAATCTAGATAGGAATACAATGACTGAGATAACCCTGATTTACAAAAGTTAGAATTATCAGTAGGAAGTGACAAGGTCGAATAGCGAGTGAATGGTGAAAAGTGTTCTTCTAGGGGAGTTGACACTACTTATTTCTAGGTATATTCATATGTAGTTGTAAAAAAATTTATCAACTATGTAAAATCTTAACATTGACTTAGTCACCGGAGAGCAACCAATCTAGTTGTCTAGTCTCCAGTGCAGAAAGAATTCTATCGACCATTTTGCAATATGGCCATCAAGCTAGGAAGCTCACCATCGCAGTACCCTTCGATGGATGTTAATGGGTCGGAGGCAATTGTTAAGAAATACTGATTGGTCTGGGCTTGGTTCTTATTTGCACTCATCAGTAAGGCATATCTGCAATATTACAACAATCCACAAGAACGATAGATGATACTTTGGATTTAAAGAGAATTTTGTCTTAAGAAGTTGGAAAGAGATGACCAGGAGGAGAATAAAACGTGAAATAATGCTGAAGACTTTCTGGTTTGAGATGGGTAAGACAGTCAGCAAACAATCTTATTTACTACTGTTACTGTTTGTATTATTCCGTCGTTGATTGGACTGAATTGATCGGTCTCTATTAGCACATCGACCCCTCGATACTGCCTGTGTTTCAATTACATAATAATGATGGATAGTGGGTAGCAATGGAATCCAGAATGGGCGTTTCGTTCTGTATGAAACTCAGGATAATACAAGCAACAACATTAAAACTATACCCGTCGCACAAGAAGTGTCTATCGTGGCTAGGTGGTCTAGTGCATAACGCTCTGGCGTTTGAACCAATCGGTTCCCAGTTTGAGCCCTGGTGGGAACAACATCAACCACTGGGAGACAGGTACATACAGCTGATGAGTTCCAAATAGGAGGAGACGTATATCCTGGATCCCAGTGCTAGCTACTATTAATCATTATTGTATCATCGTATTTATTTGTCTATCAGGTAACCAAAGAAATGAACCACCATTATCATTTAACTATTTACTTATTTACAACACAAACTTTATGGACACTAATGGATGCACCGTAGCAACGAGTTAAGAAACCACAGCGACAACACTATTACGATATGGGATTGAAATTTGCTTTTCGTTCGTTACATTTAATAGCAGCTATCTTGATTTAGTGGCCGGACTTGCATATTAAAATGACCCTACGAACTGTAGTGCACCTTTATGGTACCAAAAGGCGACTACGGCTAAAATAAAAAGATTACATTGAATTAACTAAACACTGACTAAATAAACTTCTAGCTTGCTTACAGATGCTTAAGATCTTCTAAGTTTTGTTTTAACGAGCATGCATTCGAGGAGATTTCGATGCCATTTTGCGCTTCGTTTGTACCGGTTAACATGCACATCATTAGAATCTCTAATTCAGCCATACTAACCAGATAAATTGGATAAACTATGACCCTAATAAATACTATCGTGTTTATTCTAATTAAATATATTGCTCCCTTAATACATTCTTGAATACTAGTCCTTTTGATTTGTTTCGTTATCAGAGGAAGATGGTGGCAAGGATGAACAACGAAAAGAGGAACTGAACAGAACCTATAAAACACTACACTGGACAAAGAAGTGAAGAAGAGTGCGCGCAAAGGCGAAAGACACTTCTACGACACACTGGCAAGTGAAGCACAACAGGCTGCAAGTAGGAGAGACCTGACAACACTATATCAAATAACCAGGTTACTCGCTGTCTGGAAAGAGATCAACACAGGTGGAACCAATGAAAGATAGTGAAGGAAACCTAGTTTACAAAGATGAGAAACAAAGGATACGATGGGCTGACCACTTCAAAAGCCTCTTGAATCGACCACTACCAACACCATCTCCACTGCCACTCGTCCAGAAATACCACCAGCAGTCCCGCCACAGAATTACCAGTGAACACAAGCCCTCCGACAAAAGCAGAAGTGAAGTCCTCAACGCCATAAAGTTGCTGAAATCCACGAAAGCAGCAGATTCAGATGGAATTCCGGCAGAAGCACTGAAAACAGACACAGAGACAACAGCGGACAAGCTCACACCACTACTGTAGAAGGTCGGGAAGCAGGGTCGGAAAGGTACCTGCCGAGTGAAAGAAGGGCTACATTGTAAAACTCCCAAAGAAGGGAGACCTGAGTGTTTGCAAGAATTGATGCGGAATCATGCTCCTGTCCCTGTTCATCCAAAGCGAGCAAAATATTAAGCCGCATCATCCGGGAGAGACTAAAAAATGCTCTAGATTCAAAATTACGACCGGAACAGACTGGCTTCATGAAGAACAAATCATGTCCGGATCAAATTGCAACGATACGCTACGCATCATCATACAACAGAGTATAGAATGGCAGTCAACTGGATCTCCACCTCAACTTCATCGACTTTGAAGAGGCCATCGATAGAGTCAACGGAGAGGTAATCTTGCAACTGCTTCAACACTACGGTTTTAGCGCCACAAACCTTTATCAACCTCATTCAACAGCAGCTATATGCTATGCGATGCTACATGCCAGACAAGTGATTCACAATAGAAAGCTTAGTGATGCCTTTGACGCGGAGATAAGAATAAAACATGGTTGCCGCCTACTATCACTCATGATCTTCTTGATTGTGGTCGACTGAACTGGATCATGCAACAAACCGTGAGTGTAGAGAAGGCAATAAGCTGGCTGGATTGATGAAAAAACCCTAGAAGATATGGATTTCGCGCATGATGATTTATGTCTAATGTCTTGTCGCTCAAACTCGAAGATCTATAGGCGAAAACTAACAAGTTGACAGAAGAGGCGAGACGATGAAGACGGGACTTCCTTCAGGTGAACGTAGAGAAGATAGAGGTGATGAAGATAACCAACCATCAACAACAACAACAAGCACCAACCACCATCAACGGGAGAAACTTAAAGAAAGTAGTCTCTTTCACCTACCCACCTACCTAGGCAGGGCAGCATCCTTTCAACTACAGGCAGCGGCACAGACGACGATGTCAAAGCCAGCATCGAGAAAGCAAGTTAGGCCTTCATAAATCTCAAACCAGGGTGGAGATCTACTCTACTCCACTCCACTCCACTCCACTCTACTCAGCATAAAGCGTGAACAAGATCAGGATTTTCAACACTAATTCAGTCAAGTCAGTGCTTCTATGTGGTGGCTCAGAAACTGGACAAGTTACGAAAAGTATTTCCAACAAACTACAGACATTCATCAACAACTGCAACCTACGCTCACTCGATACTGAAGATAGAGATTAGATGGCCAGAATAATAAGAATAAGAGGCAAGGAACTCCGGCATAGAAACGAACCGACCAATAACCCATCGCCCAACAAATATGCAGAAGAAGGAAATGGAGATGGATTGGGCTGGACATACACTGAGAAGTCCGGTAGGGGACATCACGCACGAGGTCAGGCCCTCGAGTGGAACCTAATTGGGAAACGACGAGCTGAGCATCCGAAGCGACGGTGACATGGATGAGGTCACGTGAGGGAGAAATGAAAGCTTCTGGGCAGTGGTGGAGCCAGGTTGAAAAAACTGCAGCGAACAGAGTGAAATGGAGATGTGCTACTGAAGCCCTATGTTCCACTAGGAACCCAAGGGACGAATAATAATAATAATAATAAATCAGTACTTACACGTTAGGTAAGGTGCTGATTAAGCAGGCACTAGAGCACATCACGTTAGGTAAGACTGGTCAAGCGTTACACAACAGTAACACATCTAGGACCCTTGCAGAGCCATGCTGATGGGAATGCTTATTCCCTCGAGAAACCAGTTCACAAGAAACATCTGTTAAATAGTGCGATTCGCAACACTATGGTGAGGGTCTGAGGGCAAAGTCATACTACTGACTAGATGGGAATGCGATGGCAGCGAGGTTTTTCCTGTGGATGACTGGAAGTGTCATGCCGATGCTTTTTTTTCGTAGGGAAGAGGATGGTGGAAATGTTTGGCTCAAAAATATAGCATACTCCCTCCTGTCCTATGGTGCCAACGATAAAGGCTTTCTGACCCTATCTAAGTTAAAGGAAGTTAAACCTCAAACTTCTTAAAAAACAGTACGTAACCGATCTCTCGTGGTCCCTTTCAAGTATCTCAAGAAGAAGTAAGCTTCAGTGATATGGGGGGCCAGGAAGTTTCAACTGACCTCAGAACTCTGTCAGTACCCAAGTTTCCTGAGAATATATTTAGGATGTTCATATAACCGATTTCTACTGCTTTCTGGGTTTGTGACTATCAACATTCCATCGTATCCTGTGAATTACAAAGTAAGTCATTCATACCTTAATCATTTTCTTTCTTCTGCATATCTCACGGCCTTCTATTTTCATTCCATGTCTCATTTGATGATAAAGTGGTTAACGAAGGCCAAATAGGCAGGCGACAGTTGTAAACAGAATTTCAACGTATCTAAACAAAACACTAATTATTTCTGCATCTTTTGTCTTTAATTAATTAACTGTGATCAATAATTGATTTAAATTTATGAGCAACTTATGATAGGTGACAATAAGAAGCGAGAAATCGACAGTTCTCTCATTCGGTGTATTAACAGAAATGATCTCTCCCATGATCTGCAGGATCCGATTAGTCCTAATTAAACACGCATGACCGCAATGGAGTGCGACAATGTCCACCTCAAATTCCACAAAGAAGCCTGAGATTCCCTGAAAAGCCTTTAAAACCAGTCATCATTTCCCGAACGTTCGCGAAAAACCACGTGATCATACGTCTGAGTCTCAGACTGCTTAAAGGACCTTCTAGAAAAGTGAACATACAAAGGCCATCGATATATATATATATATATATATATATATATATATACTACAAGGATATATCAGTGATTCACAGTCATCTTTCATGACCATGTATATACACAGCGAACTGATATCATTTTACTGACCTACAAAAAAAGTACCATTAATATTAGCGAACACAACACAGCCTACCGAACTATTCTCAAAAATATCATCTGTAAAGACCAGAGTTCTGGATCCAAATTTTCTTTACAATACCAGGTGAGTAGACACTACGTGTAATGCATATCAACTAACAGGCTTAGAAGTAATTATGTAAAACACCTGTATACTTGTGTATCCGATGTATTGGATGACGAGTGACTATTGTAAAAAAAAATCAACTGGATATAAACTATCTGGAAGTCAATACCTTTGAAAATTTCTATACATCTGATAAAGTAACTCCTTAAGAAGAGATAGTTAGATGTGTATATGATGTCAGCTAAAATAATTGATATAGATCGCAAAAAGCATGTTCTATCTAAACACATTTTCGAAAACTATTTTGCATGACTCCCTAAAGGGGAATCCAGGAAGATTATCGAGTAGCTCGATTCTTGAGCATCTTGGTGTTCCACCAGGATCTTCTTTCAAAGTCATTCGTGAATTAGAACCAAACATTTCGAGGGGAGTGAATACTCGTCATCTGAACACAGTAGAAACCTCGGTAATTATTCCGTTCAAGTCTGACCTCTGAGTTTAAAAGAGGTACTGTAGTGGGCGCAGCTGATCGAAATGGATATTAGTAGTATATGTTCAGAGGGCGCAAGAAATCATGGGAAATTACCACTAATGGGTAAAAATTCTGCCAAGAGAAAAGCAAGAGACAATGTAGGGGTATTAGGAGCAAATCAATACAGAAGCAGAAGAGGAAATGAAGCACAGTGTACGAATGACGGTCTTAGTAAGAAGTGTACAATATTTGATGACCACCGTACAAGATGTCAATAATAAACAATCCTTCCTGCGTCTCAGTCTTCTTGTTTCCTACAGTATGTCGAATCTATGATTTTGCCTTAGTCATAATCTCTTTAGGACTTTTTATTTATTTATCAACATCCCCATTTTCATCTCCTTTCCTTAATCTGCAAATGTTGATTACAATAGGACAGTCGCAATAATGTTATCCAGTCGATTATTCCATACATTACTGTGCAATCACTTTCTGTTGACCTTTCAGTCAATAGCCAGTAATCCTATAAACAATTTTGATGACCTTGTGTTAACCCATTAGCCGTTGATGGACACATATTCCCATTGTAACTATAACTACGAATGTATAGCTTACGAAAATGATTCTAAGAAAAAGGAATTTCTTCTCTCAGTGAATTGTCTTTTGTGAATTGACGAATGAAAAACTGTACATACAAATAGTCTCTAGTGCATTATACACGTATCGACAGACAAGCAGAATCAATGTACAAACTCGTACACAAGTGAAGCGATCCAAGTTACCACGCTTCACAGTAGAACACAAAGAAAGGTGAACAGAAAAGGAGTGACACAGAAGTAGATAAAGTAGTGTGAGAGAATAAACAATTTGAAGATAAAGGTTAGTGCAAATATTCAAGCTTTAAAAGACGTCATTGAGTGAATATATCTGCGTCCCTGAGATCGACTGTCAGTCATGTCATCAACAGTCCTCAACAACTGATTCCTTTCGTCTTGGAGACTCCAACCAGATAGTTTACACATCTCTACACTGCTCAGGACAACAATCAAGTCTTAGCCTGGCCATTTTGAACCCTTTTTCAACCTAATCCAAATTCCCTTCGCATGGCACATCTAAGTATGTATAGAGAAGAAGAGTATGAAAAACAGATGATTTTACTTTGGTATTTCAGAAAAACAATGAACTTGTTGACTGTAAATATTGTGCCAGATCACTATGCTGTTAAGAAAAAAGTCTCTACCTACAACTATACATTCTGCAGAGGTTTGACAACACGACAATATTTCAACCTACTTATTCCCTTCTGAAACTTGAGTATGACATTATCTTTACTGAGCATAATTTATGAACACTCTTTGCTTTAACATCCATTCTATGAACTGCGATAAAAAAAATATCGACAAGCAGACTGATTAGCAGCTTTGGGTACATGAGTAAAGCGGGGTTAAGAAATAACATTAAAAACCCCTGGAAAACCAATAAATACGTGTTTCAACTTAGCCTAAGAATATTCGATAACATTAAAAGTTTACGCCTTCAAGGGTCAGTTTTAAGATACACAAATCTAATGTAGATAATATTACTAGTGAACAGCTAGAGCAATAAAAACATAGTAAAGATTGGAAGACTAAGCCTATTCTTAACATGAAACCATCTTGAAATATCATCACTTGGTTTATAGTTTCACTTCAGAATGTGCCTATTCTGACTGAAACAGACTTATAGACAGAAACTGGATGGCTATCCACCACTAGTAAAGTAATTCACTTACTTAGAAATCTAATAAGATGTTACGTTCTTTTGAGAGACGCAATTTCATATGATTAGTGGATATTGGCTAACAGTGGAAGTCAGGAAACGGATTTCCTCCTATTTGGGAGTCATCAGTTAGATGTACCTCCCTGCAAGTGGGTGATATTGTTCCCACTCAGACTAGGGTCAGCAATATCGAGGTATCTGTACAGGAACCTATATGCCGATTAATTGGATCGAATCATGAACGAAGAGGTACAAGTTTGATCATCAAAGACCCAATTTCAGATTGAAGAAAAACACTCATCAATGACATTGACTGATGGTCATAATATTTTAAAAACCGATATAATTTAAAATTGATAGTCAATGGTGTGCCTGAATCAACATCTCAATATGAACTCAACTGCCTTATAGTTGTGTACGTGATGTAATAAGGTGGTGATGCTATCCTCTACATAACAGTGGTTAACTAAGATAAAGTGATGACTCATAAAACAATTATTCATTCATGAAATCTACTTTTCAAACAAAGATTCTTGGGAGATAAACACCCCAATTTTGTTGGCACATTCAACGAATGTGTAACTAATATTCATATAAATTTGACAAATATACATGTAGATTCAACAAAAGTCACAGTAACTTGTTTTGTTAACCATCTACGGACGGAAAGCTTCTTGTTTGCAATGATAAACAAAGTTCAGTCTCATTCCAACGACTACAATGTGATAAACACTTCAACGAGTAGTCTTATATGAACACCAAGAGTACATACTTTAAAAGATTTTGTTGAATGCATTCAATACTACACTTTCGTTTACAATAAGCTATTAAAAACGTTGATGATTTGTGGTACATTGGTTTAAGCAGTTGACATTCAACCAATCTGTTATGGGTTCTAAGTCCACTCCAGCTACCATCATTCGAGTAATAGAGTGGGGTTATTAGGCCTGACAAAATAGGAGGTGTGGCTCATTGCATATTGTATAAGTGTGCATACGGTTTCTGAGTGTGTTGCAATACTAAACAAGTCCTGAAAATAAAGCTTATCTAACACTGGAGTTTGAATTTATAACTAAACAAAATAAAAATTAAAACAACATGGAACTATTGTGCGAAACAGACGTGATGCCAAAATGAATTAAGTAAAAGAGGAACTACAATACTATAGCGCCACTTGCCTGGTAACTGGTGTTGCTTGACCATTCAAAACAACAACTTCTCCAACACCTTTCAAATTATTATCGTCAGAAGGTTCAACCTGAATACCAATAAATTAATGAATAAACAGAAGAAAAGAAAGTGAACGAATCCAAGAAATGTATCGGAAAAAAATGAAGTGATATGATGTAAAATGATACAGTTAATATAACTGTTTAGTGTAAAATTCTTTTCTACCGTAAATTACAATACAGGTTAATTTTGAGGATTACAGTTTAGATACACACCCAATGGTGACACCTAGACTGAAAAATGAATTGCCTAGACTAGTAACTTCCTAGTGTGTTTATCCTTTCGACTGCTACTTGGAAGTCAGTTATGTCGGCCATTGCTCTAGGGATCTAAGTTTTCCTATTGTAGTCTGTTTATTAGAAATATCACACAGTTAAACAGTACCATTTATTGGATAATGTTTCGGACACAATTTATTGTTCATAGTCACATAAGTTTAAAAATAAAATATATAAACAAACTGAAGGGATTGCCATGGGATCACTAATATCCCCTATTGTCGCAGATATATTTATGGATAGCCGGGAAGAGATGGCTCTTCAAACATTTAGTCCTACTCCAAAGATATGGTTCCGATATGTAGATGATACGTTTACAGTACTAAAATCGGAGCACATCAATAGGTCCTTGGTACATATAAATTCAGTAGTGAATGCAATCCAATTTACCTATGACTTAGAAAGTGAAGAAGGTGAGTTAGCAATGTTGGATTGCAAAATTAAACGAAAAGAAGACAGAAGTTTAGAGACTAGTGTCTATCGAAAACTTTCCCATACCAACCGCTACTTAAACTTCCCACTCCGTCTCAGTTAAAAGCTTAGAAAAGCTTACCAATAGACCAGAAAACCTATGATAAAAAATTAGATAAATCAAGAATACCTTGTGTCTCAATAATTACCCATCTAAGTTAATAAATTCATAAAAAATTGAAAGAAAAATATTAGTAGTAGTAATAATACAGGTGTTATTAATAATAATTCTGCTACTTATAGTAATAATGGTGACAGGGTTGAGAGAGAATTAGAACCCTCTGCTATGCTACCATACAAGGAAAGCACCTCAGAAGCACTACAGAGAATTCTTAATAAGGCTGGAATTAAAGTGGCATTCAAACCAACAAACTCGTTTAAAAACAATCTTTGTAGGTTAAAAGATTCTATCGATGCAATTAAGCAAAATAATCTGCAGTGATTGCGAAGTCAAATACATAGGTCAAAGTAGTCGACCAGGGTCGATTAGAATAACAGACGACAAAAACTTAGCTAAATTAAGATTAACAAATCTTAACAAGATAAGGAGTTTAGAGAAAAGCTCGACTATAGCTCTGCACGCAATTACATACAATCACACAATAGGGTGGGATAGAGAGACAGAGTTAAAAACTAATTGAGTTGGGTAGAGAAAGAGATTGATAATAGAATCTTTATTTATCAAATCAATATCAAACACATGCAATTGAACTACTGACATGAAAATTTGCAAAAAGAGTCAATGAAGTCAGTAGGAAATACAGCGATAGGAAGGGCGGGAAAAAAAACAACAAAATCTACCCTTCTAATCCCTGTTCCCTAACCTCACCTGGTTAACTAGTTCACTAGTTACTAGCCGGTCCTAAGCCCGGGTAAAGAGGGAAGGTTGGGCATACGGCTAGCAACCCTACCCCTAAAACCAGTTCAACCGCTACAGAAACTTTAAAGCACAAACAAAATATAAAAAATAAGAACAAAATTACTCCTCGCTGGAATCGGAGAGGCGAAATGACGCCGGTTGGTGAAAGCTTCGGGAAGCCAATTGCCTGGGCCGATGTGTCTTCGCCTCTCTCGATGAAAGCGAAAGTAAACATGGGGACATGGAATGTCCACACCATGTTTGAACCTATCAAGGCTGCCCAGATTGCAAAAGAGATGAGAAGGTATAGCATAGAAGTGTCACGTTGGCAATCTGCGAGTGCAGATGGAATGGAATGGGAGTGGACTCTCCAAACTGTCAACTGGAGAATCAATAATCTACTCCAATATTGTCACCCAGATGACAACCAAAAGCACACTGAGTTCTCGAGTGGCTATCGTGATGTCCCCAACAGCATCGAAGGCTCTCATGCAGTGGGAACCAATCTCCTCCACAATCAGGATCATGACAGCAAAGTTCAACTCAAAAGGAAGGAAGGTCACAATCATACAATGCTACGCTGTGCATTTACACATAATGCAGATGAAGAAAAAAAGGAGGAATTCTACAGACAACTGCAATCAACACTGGACAAGACTCCACTCCAGTTGGCGATATCAAAATTCTAAAGGGTGGGTGACATGAATGCCAAACTGAGAGGGCACAACACAGGAAGAGAACTAACCATGGGTCGAGAAGCGCTCGGTGAGGTGATGAACGAGAATGGAGAGTTGTTTGCAGAATCCTGTGCATTCAATGATTTGGTGATTGGAGGCCAGGCACTGTGTTCAAGCACAAGGATATCCACAAAGCGAGCGACATGGATTTCACCAGACACCAGGACACACAAAAAATCAGACCGACTTCATCTCAATCTCAAGAAAATGGAGACACAGCCTACTGGACATAAGATCAGATCAAGAAGGGGAACAGATGCAGGTCCACACCGCTCACTGTCTAGTGCAAGGAACCTTCAAAATCAAATTGAAAGCCTTCAGGGAAGTTGGTGATAGACCACAGTCAAGTTCAACATCCAGAACAGAAACTGAAGGATGAAACTACAAAGGGAATCTTCCCGGCCGCCAGCAATCAAGACAACATGGGAGATATCGAGCAACATCTCTGAAAAAACCTGTGTGTTCGAACACTGGAACTCTTTGGAAGAGATGTGGAAAGAAACCTGCATAACCGTATTAGGAAGGAAGAAGAAAGAAGACAAGGAAGGGATCTCGACGGACACATGGAAGCTGATAGAGCAGGGAGAGGAGAATGGTGAAGCAGAAGATGAACCAGTGCAAGGATGCTGAAACAGAGGAGGAACTGAATACAACGTTTACAACACTGGACAAAGAAGTGAAGAAGAGTGCACGGAAGGACAAAAGACAATTCTACGACACACCGACAAGTGAAGCAGAACAGGCTGCCGGCTGGTAGGAGAGTTAGAGACCTGACAACAATGTATCAAATAACCAGGTTACTCGCTCTCTGGGAAGAGATCAACACACGTGAAACCAATAAAAGATGATGGAGGAAATCTAATTACCAAAGAAGAGAAACAGAGGAAACAATAGGCCGACCACTTCAAGAAGCTCTTGAATTGACCATCACAACCACCTGCACTTCGTTCAGAAATACCACCTGCAGCACAGTCACTGAACTACAAGTGAACATAAATCCTCCAACAAAAATGGAAGTCCTGAACGCCATAAAGCTACTGAAATGCAGGAAAGCAGCAGGATGAGATGGGATCCCACCAGAAGCACTGAGAACAGACGCAGAGACAACAGCAGACATGCTCACACCACACCACTATTGCAGAAGGTGTGGAAGGAAGAGAAGGTACCTGGCCATTGATTGGAAGAAGGGTTACCTTGTCAAACTGCCGAAGAAGGGAGACCTCAGTGTTTGCAAGAACTGGCTCGCAATCACTCTCCTGTCCACCCGGAGCAAGCAAAATATTAAGCCGCACCATACTGGAGAGGCTTAGAGATGCACTGGATTCAAAACTACGACCGGAACAGGCTGACTGGCTGGCTGGATTCAAGAAGTACAAATCATGTGCGGACCACATTGCAACGGTACACTACGCATCATCATAGAACAGAGTATAGAATGGCAGTCAACTCAAATCTTCGTCAACTTTATGGATTTCGAAAAGGCCTTTGACAGCGTCAACCGAGAAGTAATTTGGAAACTGCTTCAATACTACGGAGTACCGCAAACCTTTATCAGCCTCATTCAACAACTATGTGAAGATGCCACATGCCAGCCAATTGATTCACAATGGGAAGCTCAGTGATGCTTTTGAAGTGAAGTGAAGACAGGAGTGAAACAAGGTTGTCTACTATCACCCATGATATTCCTGATTGTGGTTGACTGGATCATGCAGCAGACAACTGTGGGGAGCGAGAAGAGGGGATACGCTGGCTGGACTGCGGAAAAGAACCTAGAAGACTTGGATTTCGCCGATGACTTGTGCCTGATGTCACACAAACTTGGAGATCTACAGGCGAAAACTAACAAGTTGTCAGGAGAGGCAGGGCAGCGAAGACGGGACTTCAAGAGAAGACAGAAGTGATGAAGATGCCCAACCAACAACTCCAGCAACAACAACAACAACAAACTCCAATCACCATCAACGGGAGAAACTTAAAGGAAGTAACCTCCTTCACCTATCTAGGCAGCATTGTTTCAACTACAGGCGGCGGTGGCACAGACGAGGATGTCAAAGTCAGAATCAGAAAAGATAGCAAGACAGGCGTTCATTAACCTGAAAGCAGTGTGGAGATCGAGTGCACTCAGCATGTGCAACAACATCCGGATTTTGAACACCAACCCAGTCAAGTCAGTGCTTCTGTATGGTGGATGAGAGACTTGGTGCGTTACGAAAATTATTTCCATCAAACTACAGACAGACATTCATCAACAACTGTTACCTACGCTTGCTCGTTAATGAAGCTCAGATGGCTAGAATGATAAGAATAAGCAACAAGGAACTCACTCTGACTGGCTGGTAACGAACCAACCAAGAACCTATCACTCAACAAATATGCAGTGGAAGGAAGTGGAGATGGATTGAATTGAGCATACACTGAGAAGGCCGAGTGGGGACATCACGCGTCAGGCCAGTTGCTCGAGTGGAATATCCAGGGGAAGCGACGAGTTGGGCGTCCCAGCTGAGGGTGACATGGAGGAGGTCGTGCGAGGAGGAAATGAGAGCTTGTGGGCTGTCGTGGAACCAGGTTCAAAAGATCTCAGAGAACAGAGGTCACTGGAGACGTGCTACTGAAGCCCTATGTTCCACTAGGAACCCAAGGGACTAATAATGATAATAATCCCTGTTTCCTACTGATTTCATTGACCCTTATCGTTAATTTTCATGTAAATAGTTCAACAAGTACATGTGTTGGGGGTCAAACTGTTCGAAATGTATAGCGTTTATACACCACATGTTTCAGATAATCTTCGTCTTCTCATTACGTTCGTTAAATTTATCAAAGGGATCAATTGCTTCAAACATGTAATCGAAATGATGCTGCACCTGTCCTAGATATGAGGAAAATTCTACTACCCATGTCATCACAGAGAAGGAGAGAAAATTAGGAATATATAAACTCTGTCTCGAAATTGTGGAGTTACCTGATGTGAATATGGACAATAAATTGTGTTCGAAATCTTATCCAGTAAATGATACTGTTCCACTGTGTGACATTTCTAATAAACAGACTAAAATGGAATTACAATCTACCATAGTGCCCAAGTTTTACTCCTACACTAAATTTCCCTAGTTGTGAACACTTCCTAGTGTGGTACAGCAGAGGTGTGCTAAAGAACATTACCAATTCCCTATTAGCACAACTGGCGTGAACAAACCATAAGATGGATGTGCACAAGTCGTTTCCCATCATGTACCAGATTCTCATGAATTATCCAAAAGGTACTTGGCTCCAAATACTTCAGACTGCAGAAGCAGTGAGAATCAGGATCGAATGATCAGTGTTGCCGTTAAAACTACCGTAGTCCAAATCGGGACGCATTAAATCATTCACATAATAACCCAAGGTAATCTAATTTACCAATTTCATACTACACATATCCCTTAATCCCCATAATCCAAAATAATTTTATCACATTCTCCTAAGCTATTTTGTTCCTCAACATGAGTTACATTCTATCAAGTTATCATTCCTGAAATTATCCTCCTTTGTTCTGTTGCATCCAACTTTCATGAACACTTCCGTCGATGTAATAACTATCACCTTATAGTGTTACACAAACTTAATACCCATAGATAATACTATATCACGTTGTGCCTTATTAAATACGCTAAATTCATGAAAATTTACCTTTCCAACTGAAATAAAGAAATCTAATTGGCTATTTCGTCCTTTGCTACAGTGATCCTTTGAAGTCACTTTAAGTGAAAAGCAAATGTAACGAGGTGATATTATGATTGAATGGAGTATGTCTGAAATGACAGTATAACTAACACCGGTTATATATTCATAAGTTATCTGATACCTTTGGCTATATGAATAGGACATAGTTCGTGTTTATGCAATAAGCAGCAGGACACACTTGCTGTGTCAGTAGCTTATGATTTCAAGGTGGAGTAGGATATAAAAGTCTAAGGTTTGAAACAAAGAGTCACATCTATACGAACCGATTGATGGCCAGAGATTAAGTTGGTCATTCTAAGGCCAATAAACAGTTGAATTCATTCCATATAAGATATTTGATATGGAATACAGTGGTGTATTGTTGCTGTTATTAATTACTGGATGACGTTTCAGGAACAATTCATCGCTCACAATAATCTTATATAATTACAACTAATGATTATGAATTGTTCTCGAAATATTATCCAGTAAGTAACACAATATCACGATGTCCTATGTACATAGAAGCGATAAGTAATTCCAGGTGAGAATGAAAATTGCTTAGTGTTTTCCGAGCTTTGAACATTGTTCCAGGACATTTCATTACCACTAGACTAGGTAACTTCATCAGCCTTTATTTCATAAATAGTTTCTGTGCTTTATGAAGTAAACTAATTCACTATGGGATTACATTCGACCATAGAATCCATGTTTTATACTCATACAAAAGGTGGCATCTATTATTTTCTGTACAAGAGACTTATAACTGATGTAATACAATCCAAAGAGTTTTCAACATCCGTACTGTCATCAGATTCAAATAATGCGAAGCAATAGAGAAACAACCAATAGCACTGATTTGGTGATCAGTTACCAATAAATAACTAACAATAGACTATGTTGGATTAGTATTCAGACTGAGTAGATTTAGCTTTGTCATACGATTGGACAGCATTAGAGAAGAAATACATACAGCTGATGAGTCTCAAACAGAACTAAACGTGCATCCTGGATTCTTTTCCTAGTCACCAAGATCAATATAGCACCATGAATATCTAGCAGTGTCAAGACATCCGAATAGGAGCCCATCTGCCAACAGAAATGGAGAAATTCGGCCCTGTATGGGTGCGATGAATTACAAGTATCATGACAACTGATACTCGTTGCACAAGAGGTTCTTATCATGCTCGTGGCTTGGTGGATAATGCTTTGTCGTTCGAAGCTATGAGTACTGGGTTCCAGTTGCAGTGGGAACAATGTCATTTACTGGGGTGCAGGTACACCCAGCTGACAAGTCACGGATAGGTTGAAACGCGCATCCTCGATTCCTCTGCGACTCACAAGATCAGTATAGCGCTTAGAGAACATGTTATTTCTGATAGTAGTGAATTATTTTTTGCTAAATGTAGTCTACAATTCTAGGTGCACAAGCCGATACAATATGATGTAGAATCACCAGGATTTCAGTTTTTAATTTGATAACAAAAATAAAAATTTCCAGTATATTAGGAGTATTTGATAACCGATCAAAGCTTTTGTGTTGTTCATCGTGTAATCTAGTCAGCCCTGAAATGTACAGTAATGAGGATGGTTTCTTTTGTTACGGTAGGTGTCTTTTTGTTGAGTAGTTTTTCTCAAACACAACAAAATTTTATGCGTGCTCACAAAACAGAACCGAAAGTATGTGTAGCACCTTATCACCCAGCAGAAAGCAATGAAGTGATTGGTTGACTCCTGGTTGTCACGTATAATCAGCGCGTTGTCGTTGTAATTTACTAACACTTTTAATTTACCGCCGATTGTTTTACTGAACCCAACTGATCAATTTGTCAACAGATATCACAATAATTTTTTTCCAAACTAATCTTCCTTCAGCTAACATCACACGTTAAGGTAGCCAGTGGTCTAGCGTGTGCGACATATGTCTCAATCATCCTAATAGAGGCAGGTTCACAGTCTTAACGAGTCACCCTTTATTTCTGCATAATGTTCTATATCCAACCTGCAAAAACCTATCGTTTCACAACCGGTAGAGCAGGACAGAGCTCACAGCTGCTAAGTAAACTAGATCCTTGGTAGACACTCAGATATCTCACTGATACCAAAGTCGATGTCAGGGAATGGATGTCAGCCGAACCTTTTGTATACCAGTGTAAATTTCTTCACAAACCACTAGAACTAAAGCAAATTTCCAACGCAGCGAAATGGTTACTATCCTTAAACTGAGTGTTAGTGTAGAGTAACCCTGAAGCATCATCTTACATTTGAGATATGCGAAACGCTGATCAAACATACTCCCAGTTTTATTCAGTGTCCATAAGACTCTGCATTTTGTTAGTATCTTTGCATAACAAGACTATTTCATCTGCCTTGGCGATGACTAACTATGGGGTTTAAGACACGTGTTACACCCTAGTTGGTAATTATTAAATGGATATACCTAGATCCCAGTGAGTGATGCTGCATCCACCGAGATTTGAATTCAGGAACCATGAATTTATACCTGAATATAAATATTAGCAGAGGAAAACTAGATGCGATGCACAAGCCAATATATCGATTGAAGATAATGCCTCGAAAGTGGACGCACAAGTTAGCTGAACAACTGTTTATTTGCCAGTTGATATAGTTCGATAACGTGTTTATATTACTAGACTCCATCGATCAATTCGTTTATGGACCCTCTATGAGAACAGAGAGCAGTCAATTCGATCCAGTATCAGAAACCGTAGGAGATAACAAGTATAAATAAATAACAGTCCATAACTGTTGTGGTTCTTGTGAAACAGTAGCCTAGTCGAAAACACCGACGTATAAAATGATGGTTTTTGAGTTCATCTCAGCAGGAACATTATCAAACAGTGGCATGCAGCTGAAAAGCCTCAAACGTAGAGAAATACCCATCACCAAGCAGGTTATGTTAAAGACGTCGTCTGTTTCTAAAGATTTTCCTACTTTGAAAAAGATTACTGAAGCTATAAATCTTTCCATAGAATTTTTTTTGCAAATAAAATGGTGGCTTAATTCTGTTGAAACATCCTGACGAACACACAAATCATCCAGATGTCTTAGTAATAGTAAAAAGAGTCTTAGGCTGATATGAAGAATTTAATAAAATCTGTAAAAATATTTCAACCACATATCTTAGGTATTTATCACTATGAAGAAGGAAACCTACAGGAGTGGAAGTAAATGAGGTAAAGTCTGACCATTCAGGATCATGTGTAGCCAAAGGTCCTGAAGAAGTAAAATGCACAGAATGATCTGATGTCTTTGGATCCAAATTTTGCAGTCCAGTGGAATTTACCAATGTTTGCGACAACTGGTTACGTAAGGTATCATTGGTATCTGAATGGTCAAGAAATGTAGAGAAAGCTACAACTGGAGGTTGGAATGGGAATTTCGAAAAATCTGAAGCCACTGAATTCCACAACCCATTGACAGCTGTTTCTTGACTAACTGATCCATCTGGTGAATTAAACTGCCTCTTGGTGTTAGGGATTCTTATCACAGGTACAGGTGGGTAAATCTGTGCATAAAGTGATTGGATAGTAATAGCTTCAGAGACTGAATTTGATCGAAACTCCCACTGTCTACGCTGCGCCAAACCAATTAGAGCTAAAGCAGTCACTAATTCAGTTGGAGTAAACCAGCCAGGTTGAGTACAGCTAGTAAGTGACCATATATGGTACAACACTTCCGTATTCAAATTGGATGATCGAAATATTTCATAAATCACTGAACTATCAAGACCATGACTATAATAAAAATAAAATTGAAAACACAGAGTTGAATAACAGCTTAAGGAATCAAGATAAACTGGACAGTCAGAAGCTAAATATAAGTTATTACATAGCTGAAGTGAAATTCGGTGAGGAAAACAGACAAGTCTATTAACTATCAGTCTGACTAACTGAGGTAGTCGTAGGGTTTGGCAGGCTTGTGTTATTAATACTGGGTATCGATTGAAGGTGAAAGTTTGGGTCGCGGAAAGATTAGAACCAGCGACCTCGGGGTTACCGGCCTGGTGCTCTACTAACTGAACTACGAGTTCCAGCTGCAGATCAAATGTTAATTTCACTTCAATCACCAAGTTTATTAACATCAAGACGCATGTGTTATTGCTTGCATTGTCCCACCGTTGACCGGACCGAATTGATCGGTCTCTATTAGCATATGGGCTCCTGCCTGTGTTTTATTTATATATTAATGATGGATAGTGGCTAGTAGTACCATCTGGGACTCGTCAGTAGGTACATCCAGCTGACGAGTCCCTAATAGGACGAAACGTGTGTCCTGGGTTCCACTACTAGCCACTTTTAACAGGCACTACAACTTATAAATACTACACTAATGGAGTAGTAAACTTACCAATGTTACGATAAAAGAATTTAGAATCACTTATAATTCGTCATCAAGAACTATACTGATAATGTGGTCACTGGGTTCCTAACTAGGTTAGTCAGTCGGTCAGTTAGTCAATACCAACAGGGATCAACTAGGTAGAATTAGATAGACAGTGTGATGATAAGACGAAGACTATCTGGAACGCATAATGCATTAGTATTATGCAGTTAAAAATTAAGATTTTGTTCTGTTCTTATCATCCTCTCTAGTTTGCATATCAACGGTTTGACAATGTTCACCTGTAATCAAATCGTTAAAAAAGTATAGCGTCTCATGGTTTAAACAATCTTTGTCTCTTTAGTGTACTGCATTAGTTGAATTATTTAAAAATTCAGTAGTATGAAAGTGTGATGAAACCTACCATTGGTTATTTCATTTTACTGAAACTAGAGGATGGTTATTATAACAAGAATTTGGAAAAAGTATTTAACCACACCAGTAACAAAAACAAGTTGTAGGTTAAATATTTATTATTCAGAGCCATTAACAATCAAAAGTAATATATTTATAAAAACTGACTAACAAGATACAAAGGTAGTAATATTATGTCTACAATTTGACGTTTGCTAAGTTTATCGAAGTTACAGTCTTAGAATTCCAATGCCTTCACCCGTTCAATCATTACAACCGATCGAGCTATATATCAGTTAACTCACTTCACCCTGGACAACAGGGTAGTATCACAACCTTTTAGAAAATAAGTGTGGCGCGTAGACTAGTAGTGCATGAACCTGTAACGGACTGTATTGTACCGCATTTCATTTTGCATTGCTGTACAAGAAAGTATTAATTACATGATACTATCAATTATACGTAATAAACACTGAGTATAGCTAAAAAATCGAAATTAGATACTGCGTATAATACGAATACTTAGTGTGGAGAAAAAACTAAATGGACTATTGATTAGTATGCTTTAGAATCCTTTGGAATGGATGTTAATTTGACCTTATAACCAACTTCATGAGAGTGCAGATACCATAAGTCGACAAACTAGTGGTGAAACGAAAAATTTCCAACTGAATGTCAAAAGTCAGAGTAACATACACTAGTCTGAGTCATTTTTTACAACATACCGACACTAATCTGCTAGTAAACGTTCGGGAATAACAGGTTTCGATGAGGATAGTTTGTCTTTGTGCTGGTGACACTTGGCTGCTACCAGTCCCATCATTATCTCCGTATTAATTGGTTTCAACTAGTGCTAACACCATATAAGTTACTCTGAGATCCAGTGGAGATAGATATTGTCATTTGGAGAGTGGCATCCTTTTGAAACACCGACTCCGATAGCTAGGACACGTTTTACACACCACGTTTAGTTAGCTACAGTAGTATTAAATGTTTGGATATAGAAAGGTGGAAGTTGGTTAATTTACCGTGTAGTACCATGAGATAACGGACAGTTGGGTGTTTAAACACCTGGTAACGCATCATGACTTTCTGGATCAGTCAAAAGAGACTAAACAACTCAGTGATTGAGAACTCTTTCACACATACCTCGAGACTGAAACTCGTAGCACTTTTGCTATTATTTCTTTTGGTATTTTTTTCAAAAACGTAAGAAAGGCATCTTAAATGTAAAAATATAATTGCTTCTTGTTTCCCGTTACGTATCCCTAATATCATAATATTTCTATGAGGTGAACTTCTCGGTGTCTAGGTTGTATGATTTTTGTGAGGACTGTTAACAGATGCTATACCAGACGATCAACAATGATGGACTACTACAAATAAAGTCTGCTGAACAGTAAGATTAGCTGATACTCTGTTGAACCTTGAAGAAATGGTTTACATATAGACATTAAAGTTTAAACCCTGGTACCGATTAGGTGAACCACTAAGTGAATATCTTTATGACATTAACTTGATGCCAATCAAACATGCCATACAGAAGGTAATTAAAATAAATTTCACAAACCTATTTCTCTTCCCTAGTACAGAGGTGTACTTATATTTCTGAACTGAAAAAAAAGGTAATATAAAGAAGGAACCACAAGTTCGTAACACAAAAGCACAACCTTATAGAGTTAATTGTTCACTGAGGTTATTTGATCGACAAAAGGTCATCTTAGATGATGAGGGTGATTAAAATGAATGAAACATTTAGGTATTCAAATGACAAATATACACTGATGACATATTAACAAGTGACCGAAACCCAAATTAAAATGCACTCAGTAACCTGGTGTATATTTGTGCAGTAGGCAATGAACCACATCTATTGTTTGAGGGCTAAAGACACTACTGATTCCCCAAACTTTGGCAGGTGGAGCGGGGTTCTAACCCATGACTCATCGATTGAAAGCAAACTCCTTAAGCCAATGAACCACATCTCCAAACAAGTGACTACAAGTTACTATACACTCACATATTATATTGCTTTAAATTGCTTTGGATCGCTGTAGTAAAACAATGAAAAGATCTTTAAAGAACGCTATGGTTACCTGCTTATAAGTTTCATCCCAATTAGAATCATACAGCGTTGAAATTGTTTATTATACTTATATACTGATTCATTTCCAAGTGTGAGGTGTCTCAAAGATATTTTCAATAATCATGACTCAAAATATTTCAAACAAGAATTGGTTCCAGCTGAAAGAGGGTTGAACCAGAAGGAAACAGCGAGCATTCATCTTGACTGGTGTTTTGAGTGATTTTTCAACCCTCTGCAAGGAAGTCATCAGTGAGATAGGAAGAGGCGAAGTATCCGGCTATTTATCAACATATGTGTCAGTATACTGCGCTGTAGTTCGTTATGTCCTGTTACACGGCTGACATATGACCGTTGAAAGTAGAAGACATGAAGTGGTTATAGAGCTTTGACCATAGGTGTCTTCGTAGAATTGCTTGTATTTGGTGTAATCACTGTGAGCAATTTTGAGGTCAGAATGAAAGTACTAGGTAAGACAGGTGAGTGAAATGATGAGGTTGTGAACCTTCATCGACTGAGATACCTTGGACACATGTTACGCATGCTGAGTCACCGCCTATCTCGACATGCCATGCTAGAGGAAGCTGCATTAGGTTAGAATAGGGTTCAGGGTGGCCAAACCAAGATGTGGCACCAGTCCACCAAGTCCCTGACTGTTGGCTAGAGTCGTGTAGGAGGATGTACACTGCCTGATTGGGGTATCCGAGACAATGGGAATCAGTGGTTGAGAATTTTTGGTGACATAACTGACAATTGGTCACAATGGTGCAGATGTATTCACTCACTGACGTCTTCTAAACCTTGAATATTCGCATTAACCTTTATGTTCAAATTGTTTATTCTTTCACACCACTTCATTTACATTGATATCACTCCTTTTCTATCCACCTGTACTCTGCATATTACCGTGAAGTGTGGCAACTTGGGCCGATGTGATCCTGTGCGAGGTTCTGTGTTGACTTTGTCAGTCAGTCAGGAAGAAACATATCACAATGAACACTAGAAAAATACCGCAAGTTTTGCCACTTGTAAGAAAATATGAGACATCACTGATTGAAATGGAAAGAATATTGCTTGGAAAACAAATAAATGTGACAATTTAGATGTACTCATAATGCACAATTCAATGCGCATTTGTATTATTATCATTATTATTTGTCCCTTGAGTTCCTAAGGGAACATAGGGCTTCAGTAGCACGTCTCCATTCCACTCTCTTCTCTGAAATCTTTTCAACCTGTCTCCACCACAACCCACAAGCTCTCATTTCATCCTCACACCATCTCCTCCATGTCACCCTCAGCTGGGACGCCCAACTCGTCGCTTCCCATGGGGATTTCACTCGAGCAACTGGCCTGACGCGTGATGTCCCCACTCGGCCTTCTCAGTGTATGCCCAGTCCAATCCATCTCCACTTCCTTCTGCATGTTTGTTGAGTGATAGGTTCTAGGTTGGTTCCTTCCCAGAGCTCCTTGTTGCTTATTCTCATTATTCTGGCCATCTCACCTTCATTAACGAGCCAGCGTAGGTGGCAGTTGTTGCTGAATGTCTGTAGTTTATTGGAAATCCCTTTCGTGAAGCGCCAAGTCTCTCATCCACCACACAGAAGCACTGACTTGACTGAGTTGGTGTTCAAAATCCGGATGTTGTCCACGCACTCTGAGTGCACTCGATCTCCACACTGCTTTCAGGTTAATGAACGCCTGTCTTGCTATCTTTTCTGATTCTGACTTTGACATCCTCGTCTGTGCCACCGCCGCCTGTAGTTGAAACAATGCTGCCTAGATAGGTGAAGGAGGTTACTTCCTTTAAGTTTCTCCCGTTGATGGTGATTGGAGTTTGTTGTTGTTGTTGTTGCTGGAGTTGTTGGTTGGGCATCTTCATCACTTCTGTCTTCTCTTGAAGTCCCGTCTTCGCTGCCCTGCCTCTCCTGACAACTTGTTAGTTTTCGCCTGTAGATCTCCAAGTTTGTGTGACATCAGGCACAAGTCATCGGCGAAATCCAAGTCTTCTAGGTTCTTTTCCGCAGTCCAGCCAGCGTATCCCCTCTTCTCGCTCCCCACAGTTGTCTGCTGCATGATCCAGTCAACCACAATCAGGAATATCATGGGTGATAGTAGACAACCTTGTTTCACTCCTGTCTTCACTTCACTTCAAAAGCATCACTGAGCTTCCCATTGTGAATCAATTGGCTGGCATGTGGCATCTTCACATAGTTGTTGAATGAGGCTGATAAAGGTTTGCGGTACTCCGTAGTATTGAAGCAGTTTCCAAATTACTTCTCGGTTGACGCTGTCAAAGGCCTTTTCGAAATCCATAAAGTTGACGAAGATTTGAGTTGACTGCCATTCTATACTCTGTTCTATGATGATGCGTAGTGTACCGTTGCAATGTGGTCCGCACATGATTTGTACTTCTTGAATCCAGCCAGCCAGTCAGCCTGTTCCGGTCGTAGTTTTGAATCCAGTGCATCTCTAAGCCTCTCCAGTATGGTGCGGCTTAATATTTTGCTTGCTCCGGGTGGACAGGAGAGTGATTGCGAGCCAGTTCTTGCAAACACTGAGGTCTCCCTTCTTCGGCAGTTTGACAAGGTAACCCTTCTTCCAATCAATGGCCAGGTACCTTCTCTTCCTTCCACACCTTCTGCAATAGTGGTGTGGTGTGAGCATGTCTGCTGTTGTCTCTGCGTCTGTTCTCAGTGCTTCTGGTGGGATCCCATCTCATCCTGCTGCTTTCCTGCATTTCAGTAGCTTTATGGCGTTCAGGACTTCCATTTTTGTTGGAGGATTTATGTTCACTTGTAGTTCAGTGACTGTGCTGCAGGTGGTATTTCTGAACGAAGTGCAGGTGGTTGTGATGGTCAATTCAAGAGCTTCTTGAAGTGGTCGGCCTATTGTTTCCTCTGTTTCTCTTCTTTGGTAATTAGATTTCCTCCATCATCTTTTATTGGTTTCACGTGTGTTGATCTCTTCCCAGAGAGCGAGTAACCTGGTTATTTGATACATTGTTGTCAGGTCTCTAACTCTCCTACCAGCCGGCAGCCTGTTCTGCTTCACTTGTCGGTGTGTCGTAGAATTGTCTTTTGTCCTTCCGTGCACTCTTCTTCACTTCTTTGTCCAGTGTTGTAAACGTTGTATTCAGTTCCTCCTCTGTTTCAGCATCCTTGCACTGGTTCATCTTCTGCTTCACCATTCTCCTCTCCCTGCTCTATCAGCTTCCATGTGTCCGTCGAGATCCCTTCCTTGTCTTCTTTCTTCTTCCTTCCTAATACGGTTATGCAGGTTTCTTTCCACATCTCTTCCAAAGAGTTCCAGTGTTCGAACACACAGGTTTTTTCAGAGATGTTGCTCGATATCTCCCATGTTGTCTTGATTGCTGGCGGCCGGGAAGATTCCCTTTGTAGTTTCATCCTTCAGTTTCTGTTCTGGATGTTGAACTTGACTGTGGTCTATCACCAACTTCCCTGAAGGCTTTCAATTTGATTTTGAAGGTTCCTTGCACTAGACAGTGAGCGGTGTGGACCTGCATCTGTTCCCCTTCTTGATCTGATCTTATGTCCAGTAGGCTGTGTCTCCATTTTCTTGAGATTGAGATGAAGTCGGTCTGATTTTTTGTGTGTCCTGGTGTCTGGTGAAATCCATGTCGCTCGCTTTGTGGATATCCTTGTGCTTGAACACAGTGCCTGGCCTCCAATCACCAAATCATTGAATGCACAGGATTCTGCAAACAACTCTCCATTCTCGTTCATCACCTCACCGAGCGCTTCTCGACCCATGGTTAGTTCTCTTCCTGTGTTGTGCCCTCTCAGTTTGGCATTCATGTCACCCACCCTTTAGAATTTTGATATCGCCAACTGGAGTGGAGTCTTGTCCAGTGTTGATTGCAGTTGTCTGTAGAATTCCTCCTTTTTTTCTTCATCTGCATTATGTGTAAATGCACAGCGTAGCATTGTATGATTGTGACCTTCCTTCCTTTTGAGTTGAACTTTGCTGTCATGATCCTGATTGTGGAGGAGATTGGTTCCCACTGCATGAGAGCCTTCGATGCTGTTGGGGACATCACGATAGCCACTCGAGAACTCAGTGTGCTTTTGGTTGTCATCTGGGTGACAATATTGGAGTAGATTATTGATTCTCCAGTTGACAGTTTGGAGAGTCCACTCCCATTCCATTCCATCTGCACTCGCAGATTGCCAACGTGACACTTCTATGCTATACCTTCTCATCTCTTTTGCAATCTGGGCAGCCTTGATAGGTTCAAACATGGTGTGGACATTCCATGTCCCCATGTTTACTTTCGCTTTCATCGAGAGAGGCGAAGACACATCGGCCCAGGCAATTGGCTTCCCGAAGCTTTCACCAACCGGCGTCATTTCGCCTCTCCGATTCCAGCGAGGAGTAATTTTGTTCTTATTTTTTATATTTTGTTTGTGCTTTAAAGTTTCTGTAGCGGTTGAACTGGTTTTAGGGGTAGGGTTGCTAGCCGTATGCCCAACCTTCCCTCTTTACCCGGGCTTAGGACCAACTAGTTACTAGTGAACTAGTTAACCAGGCGAGGTTATATCAAATCAGTAATCTGGTAATTTGGTTGGTTGTAGCTAACAGAGGAATCCAGGACGCTGAGATGTAGTGGGAACAACATCGCTCATTGGGATGCAGGTACACTCAGCTGGTGAGTCCTAATTAGGACGAAATCCGCATCCTGCATTCTTCTGCTAGCAACAACCAACCAAATTACCATAATTTACACTCAAGCAATATCGAAGCATCCGTATAGGAGCCCATACGTCAATAAACATCGAACAATTCGATCCAATAAAACAATGGTGAACTACAGGTACATCAATGAATAGCAAAACCAGTAATCTCTTGCTTATAATAGACAATATTTTCCCAATTATCCTCCTACAGTACTTCAGTCCTTAATATGAAACTGTATATAACATAGTATATTGTTGTACTACGATTCCCTGCGGAAAATTTAACAATCTTAAACCATTATCTTGTTATTATAGTTAAATAGACGGTTTATCTGCTTATTCTTATATAATAATTTGTAAAACAAATAATGAGTGATTCAGAGTTCAGCTTTTTATGCTACTTGTTAGTCTGATTTGCTTATTAGGCGAACGTGGGTGATGTATCTGCGCATAAAGGTTTTATCATTCATTAGTATTTCCTTGAATATATATCTTGCAAATGTATGTAAATCAGTGGACAAGTGTAGGCCGTGTTTGACTGAGAAGTTGATTTCGCACCAATTCCTGAGTCATCAATAAACTGATCTTTATATAACAAAACTTATAGGCTTTAATGTTTTGGCATGGGTTAATATACAAGTTGTAACACGTTCTTCTTATCAATTGATAATACTTTAAGACTATAAACACAATCACTATGAATAAACTTTAGACATGAAAATGCAGAGAAAAGTGTAACATTGAAATAAACTGGTTGTGAACAGTTGATGATATGCATGCCTACACTGTTTGCATATTATGCAATATTAACTAGAAATGAGATCTAACAGGACACATCTCGTCCTCTTCGAAACTTGTTAGTCACATATGCTTGCATGGATGTTTATTTAATGCTACTGTGAGGTGGCAAACGTAAGGCAGTAAGTAACCTGTGGTGTCTGAAGCGATGAATACAGCGATTGATTCCTAGTAAGAATACCAAATGCTTGATACAGTTTAGGTATGCTTTCATGAAACGTTAGACAGGCCAATACAAGAACAGACAGGCAGAAAGACATATCAACATTGAAACTTGCACTATGAATCAACTAAAATATTCACTTTGAATACCTAATTATCATTCCCCATACCGGATGTCAAAACGTAATTACTAGCCAAGTTTAAATATCCATACAGCATTGACGGCTCAATGCAAGCTAACATTAATTAAGTCATAAGAATAATTGATTTCACCCAATGCCAACAACCTCCTGATGCAGTTCATTAATGTTGACAGAATGGGTCTAGTGTAATTATCTCACTAAATGACACTAGAATAAGAGACACAGCTCCTACGATGACCACAATAAGTACTGACAATGAACAGTGATAAGTGTAACATCTACATAGATAGCTACCCGTGAACTGTGTAAAACCATTTACGCTCCATCAACCAATACATAACTGAGTAATTAGTTTGACTCGCATAGCTTGTACCAACCTCTTAGTAAACGCTGGACATGTGTGCTGTCAGCACCAACTTAATATCACCTAACTAATGACTATGGACAAGTTCAGATCAAGAATCAGTTATATGTAAAGTATACTGAACTTCAGTATAAGTATAGGTTTTGGACACTTTGAAAGAGTGTACTTCCATACATCAAACTGTTCCATTTGAAATAGTAATAATACTGTATTACTGCGTGCTATAACAAATCAACTAATCCAATATGGAATATACTTGGTTGTGGCTAGCAGAGGAGTCCAGGACGCGCGTTTCGTCCTACTTGGGACTTATCGGTTGGATGAACCTGCACCCCGTTGATTACTTTCGTTTCCATTGAGACTCGAATACAATACCCATCGCTTCGAATGCCAAAGCATTGCCCATCAAACCACTGGGACATGATAGCCACCTACTGTGTGTTCTGAAATAAGTTTGCATAGAATAAATGAAATGAAACACACTCAGCAGCCGTGCACACATTCGTGCGGAAGACAAAGAGTCGAGTCACACCTCTTGTGTGATGGCTAAATGTACTACTACCTGACTGCCCAAACCTTGATATGTGGAGCAACCCACTGGTTGAAAGTCAACTTCTTGAACCAAGATACAGTTCCCCTTTTGTATAAATGAGGCTATTGAATCAATAACTGAATGCCCAGTTGCCGTATAGGACATTACAAACATACTTCATGTATATGAACCTGTAGCTCACAAAATTAGTGTGGTAATACTCTTTGAAGTCTCTAAGTATTTCCAGTTATCGAACAAGTGAAACTGTAGTGCACTGATTTAGGCACTCAATCTCTCAAACAACTAGTCACCCGAAGGAACTCAGTTAAGTTTGATAGGTATGAAAAGTCAGGTAGTATCATCGGTCTTGATACTATAGCTGTGGCTCACAGCATAGTATGAAAGTTTGCAATACATGTCTCACTTTATATCAATCAATTCAGGTTGTCGTAGATTTGTGAGAAAATAAAATCCTGTAAAAAGGTATTTATTATCATTTTAACTGTCTGAGATAGCCGTGGTTTGGCGGGCTTGTACTATCAATACTGGGTGATGATTGGAGGTGAAATGGAAATTTGGACCACAGCAGGATTCCAACCAGCAACTACCGAGTTTCTGGTTCCATGCTTCACCAACTCACCTATGAGACCAAAGTGCTGACAAGATTTTTATTTCACTTTAAGTATTAATGTACTTATCACAAAGAATATGAATGCAACCACGCTAAAATAAGAATAAAACCTAAGCTGCTATCTATTAACTTTCGAATTATCTTCAGTTGACGTTCTGCTATCTGGAGAACAGCTCATACTTAAATTATTTGATCATATTTACATTCAGGTAATGGTATCTTCGTTATAGGTACACACAAACACTATAATACTTGGCCAGTAGTTGTGTAGAGTATATTGTCTACTGCACGTACGAGTAGACGGTTAGTCAGTACACTTTTCTTGTGTTACAGCATCTATTTATTTCGTGTTTAAGGACAGTCACTATGTGAATGTATAATGAGCATACATTTACGTAGACACATCAACCTAGTGTTCATTTAACAAGTAGTAAATAGTAATTTACACCCACAAAGCGAACACGATAAAAACAATTCACCGGTCTACTTGGTGGATAGAAATGGAATGAAGGACATACGTTTTGTCCTACCTCGGACTCATCAGCCGGGTATACTTCCACACCTCAGTGAGTGATGTCGCTCCCCTTGAGACTGGAACCCGGTAACCAGCGCCTCAAGAGCGAAAGCGTCATCCACTAGGTCACTGGGGCACGGGAACCACCGCCTGTACAGCGGGTATTAGTTGATATTATTTATTGATACTTGTCATTTCCAGTTGCTATACTAAATCGGATTGCTTAACCTCTGTTGGAAGATGGGCTTTGATGTGGATGCCTCGATGCTGACTGGATATTCATTATATCGTAGTCTACTTAATGGGTAGCATTGGAATCCGGGCAGTATAGAGGCATATGGATAGGAGCCTATCTGCCGACAGAGGTCAATCCAGTTTAGCAACGGGAAATCGCTAGTATTATTAAACAACATTTCAATGATCGTTTAACCGAATAGGCCAAATCAGATACATGGCATTTTACCCACAAAAATACACTTATTTGATCACATACTTCGTCTCAATTCTAAATAACAAAGAAGTGAGTAAATTGCGTAAGATCTAACCATTCTAACTTGACAATCATAGAAAACTTGTGATAAATATCTTCAGAAAGGAAATATTTATTTATTTATTCAAATCAATCTGATCTTTAACATGATGTAGCTCTTCTTAAAGAAGTTGAATGAGTCAATGTAACCTAGTGTAAAAACGTTCATCTCAACAAATGTAAAAGACTTTCTTATGCATCGGGTCGATTGAAAGGTAACTAGCGCAGGGAATTAGCCACACCTACTGTGTGAGGGCTGATGTACTACCTGACTGCCCAGACCTCAGTATGTGGAGTAGGATGTGAACCCGTATAACCCACCGGTCGAAAGCCAACTTATTAAACCAATCAGCCACAGTCCCACGGTCGGTAGAGAGTAAATTGTTGCTCTAGGATTCATCTTCACTGGTGTCTTGTTTAACAATAGGGTGTGAAATGGTTGAGCGCGTTGACCAATTAACCTACCTAATAAATGGGATCAGCACTAAGTGGTCAGTGACAGACGAATTCCTCTAAACAGATACAAAAGGCTCGCTTGGTTTTCGTCAATTTACACCATTTATGGAGACGCCGTGATATCCGATTGTCTATTAAGGGTAGAGTGTACTGCATTGCAGTTTACTATGTTCTACCATATGGCTGTGAACTATGGTTACTAAACGTAGAGGACATTAAGCAACTTCAAGTGTTCGATGAACGTCACTTTCATAGTATAGGTCGTGTCATGGTGCCACCACGTTAGTAATGTAGAAGTCAAGTATAGACTTTTTGGGAGGAGAGGAAAGTCAGTTGATGAGGTTATAAATCTTCATCGGTTCAGGTGGTTGGGACAAGTTACGCATGCTCAGTCACCATCTGCCTTGTCGCTGAAGTAGATTCGGGTTGGAAAACGTCAGAGGAAACCAGACTAAAGAAAATGGCATCAGTGAATCAAGTCTTTGACTGTTGGCCTGGGCCACATATGGGAATTTAGACTTCGGGATTGACGATCGCATGACAACAGAAACCAATGATTGGAAACTCTAGCCAGCATGGACCAGAATTGACCTCAGTGGTGCAGATATATCCACACATTATCTTCATCTCAATTTTAACATTGAAATCAGTATTTTCTGATTCCTACTTGTTATTTCATCACGACTTTCAACCACTTTTGACTACTATCTTCACTATTTCCTTGTCTTTCATCTCAGTGCTTTCTAGCTGGATGTCCTGATATGAGGTGTGGTAACTTGGACCGTTACACAGTAATGCTTGGGGTTCTCTGTTAATCTTATCCACGTATCCAGCACAGAGTTAGAGTGAGAGTTTTAACAGTCACCTTAAGTGTAAGTAAAACGAGATTTTTGTATCTTTTAAACCAATAATCGAAAACTAAGATATTCTGGATAAACACACTATAAACATACCTTGTGGTAGCAGCACGAATAGCTTCACCATAAATCGCTGGCAAGGAAGAAAGATTCCTTAACCATGTTGGTTTAGTGAAAGAATTGACTGACGAAACAGAACTGGTAGGATTTAAATAACCAACCTCTGGTAAATCAAGTAAATGCGATGAATTTTCAAAACCTGATTCAGTTGAAAATACATCAGAGGAATGATTGGAAACCGGACCCCAATGGTGAGGCTAAAAAAGAATTTTATAAATTTGAGAAAATTTTAGGCTCATGACAGTTAGCATATAGTTATGATGCCTTTTCTACTGTAAATGCTCTGTGAGCATATGACTAAGAGTTCTGGGTTCAAATCCCTCTTTAGCGATGTACAGCGATGTATCATAAGCCCTCATGCAATGAGTATGGCTCACAACTTATCACAAACAGGCACCCGATCGAGTTGCAATAAATTTTCTAATTCACTAAACTTTCTTCAATACGAAAATGAAGGAATACCTTCAACTTGAATAAATAGATAAGTAATCACAAAAATAAAAAAAAGTGCAGAATCTAGTCAAATATACCTCTAAGTATTCTTGAAGTCGTATTCATTTCACACAAATGGAGTTTAATGTAATCAGATTACAAACGTGAGTTGAATACACGAAATCAGAAGTCACTAAATCAGTCAGCACTATAAATATTTGAATATTCTACCTTTACAAGGAGGGGATTATCAACCTCATTCAACAGCTATATGAAGACACTACATGCCAAGTGATTCATAATGCAAAGCTCAGTGATGCCTTTGACGCGGAGACAGGAGTAAGACAAGGTTGCCACCTACTAACACTCATGATCTTCCTGATTGTGGTCGACTGGACAGGACTGGATCATGCAACAAACTGTGATGAACGAGAAGACGGGCATACGCTGTTTAACCGGTAAAAAGACCACAAAAGAAGATTTGGATTTCGCCACCGCCAATGATAATTTATGTCTAATGTCTTGTCGCTCAAACTCGAAGATCTATAGGCGAAAACTAACAAGTTGACAGAAGAGGCGAGACGATGAAGACGGGACTTCCTTCAGGTGAACGTAGAGAAGATAGAGGTGATGAAGACAACCAACCGTCAACAACAACAACAAGCACCAACCACCATCAACGGGAGAAACTTAAAGAAAGTAGTCTCTTTCACCTACCTACCTACCTAGGCAGGGCAGCATCCTTTCAACTACAGGCAGCGGCACAGACGACGATGTCAAAGCCAGCATCGAGAAAGCAAGTTAGGCCTTCATAAATCTCAAACCAGGGTGGAGATCTACTCTACTCCACTCCACTCCACTCCACTCTACTCAGCATAAAGCGTGAACAAGATCAGGATTTTCAACACTAATTTAGTCAAGTCAGTGCTTCTCTATGTGGTGGCTCAGAAACTGGAGAAGTTACGAAAAGTATTTCCAACAAATTACAGACATTCATCAACAGCTGCAGTCTACGTTCACTCAGTACTGAAGATCACATGGTCAGAAAGAATAAGCATCAAGGAATTCACTGTGGCTCGCCTGTCAAAGAACCAACCAACAACCCATCGCCCAACAGCTATGCAGAAGAAGGAAATAGAGATGGATAGGACATGACTGGACATACACTGAGAAGACCGTTTGGGGACATCATGCGCCAGGCCGGGCCCTCGAGTGGAACCCAAGTGGGAAACGATGACTAGGGAGTCTGAGGTGAGGGTGACATGGAGGAGATCGTGTGAGGACGAAATGAAAGCTTGTGGGCAGTCGTGGAGCCAGGTTCAAAAGACTGCAGAGAACAGAGTGAACCAGAGACGTTAAACAGAAGCCCCATGTTCCACTACGAACCCAAGCGACAAATAATAATAATAATATACTAGATGGGTAAAAGGATGAATACAAATGCAGCAACTAGAAATATTCACAGGAACACAGTTGATTAATTTCGAGACCTGGTATCCTCCAGACCTACAATCACGTCTACATGTAATTACTCCAAAACATCTACCGAGATAACTAGAAGTCAACAATACTTGTCTGTGTGCACAAAGCTATCCGATACATACAAACCATGATTTCTGCTCTGTATGGGTATGCCGTCACCCGTTGCGATGCAGAAACATTTGGTTAACAAGTCCCAAAAGGGAGGAAGAGCGTACCTTGGATTCTACCACTACCCATTAACAAGCAAAATTATAAAATCACCAAAGACACCTGAAATGCTGAAAGAAACACTTTGAAAAGCAACTCAGCCTACTTCACCAGCAATGTAGACCTTAAAGTTCACACTTTCACGATCAGCCAACACTGACAAGCTTGACACGAATGTGGGGAAACAACCCAACATACTAGAACATCATAAGCTGTCCAGCCCATACAACTTCTATCTTTCTTAGGATACAAGCTAGACTAAGGTCAAAAAGGTGACTAGAATCATCAGCAAGGTATAGTATTTGGAGGGTATCCCGCTAATTTGAATGAGACCGTCATTGTATCCACATTTAAAAAGGGTATATGTAATGTTGAAATGTAAAACTTAGGCACAGTGGCAGACTGCAACTCTATTTTGGCCATCTTATTAGACATATTATACAGTATCATTTACTGGATTACGTTTCGGACACACTTAGCTGTCCATAAACATATCAAGATAACCTCACAGCTTTGAGAAATGGTCTACATATTTCTAATTATCTCTCCTTCATTGTAATACAAATAGTAAAATTCTCCATGTACCTGGAACATGAGTTGAATTATTGTTTCACCTAGTGTCAACTCGATAAACAAGTATTCGGGTATCGATTTCTCTCTCCACCCCACTACTCTGTACCATTCTACAGTGTGGTTGTGTGTAACAACATGCATGGTTGTAGCCGATCATTTTTTCTAGATTCCTCATCTCATTACCGCCTACCAATCTTGAATAAGCTAGATTTTTGTGTTCGGACACCTTAATTAACCCTAGCTAATACTTTGATCCGCTAATTTGATCTCGCAATGATTGCGAGGGATTTAGTAAACGAAATTATTTTGACTGACTGGGTCAATAGGGTCTTTTAACCCACCTAGTTTGTTTCTAGGTGAGTTTGTAGATTTAAACGATACTCTAATCCCAACCTTAGTGAGAACCCTGAGTAATATCTTTGAAATACCTTCTTTGTATAGTAACGTCGTGTGAGTTGTGAATACCATCTTCATTATGTTGGTATTATTATTACTATTACCATCTGGTTTTCCACTACTAATCATGTTTTTTACAATTCCTAATGAATTCACTGATTAGTCTATGAGGGTAGCTATTGATGAGTAATATGCCCTTAATTTATCTAATAAAAAAGCAGATTCGAGATGAGAAATCAGACTTTATCTCATCACATTGTGGAGGCACCGACTATGTGTTCATCGTCAACCAGTGGCATAAACACTTCATACATTTCAAGTAGACAATCTTTTCATTTTTTGACATTAAAGTAGACTTTAATTTGTTAGACGAAACAGTACTCTGGAGTTTTCATTGTCATCGAAACACAAAACTCAACGAAATGATCTCTAAATTCCTTGCGAAATGAACATATGATTGCTATACTCGCTTCCATCTTTGAAGTCACATGCAGAAGTATCTTATGAAGAAGATATGCAATCTATGCAGAAGTCGCTGAGATATATTAATGATGATAAGCTCATTAAGGAACCAGAAAATCTAGATGGGTGATGCTAGTTTGGATAATCCAGGCAAAAAGATACAGACTGTAGATTCTAAGGTTTTAACTCAGTAACAAGCAAACTTCAGAAAAAGAAAGATATAAAAGTAGACAAAGTTGTGTGGGAGAATAAACAATCTGAACATAAAGGTTAGAGCGAATATTCAAGCTACAGATGACAGATGATGAATACATCTGCACCACTGTGAACGATGTCACCAAGAGTCCTCAACCACTCATTCATTTCGTCCCAACCGGACGGTCTATATCTGCCCACACATCACTCAGACCAACAGTAAGAAAATCCGTCGACTGGTGTCATGTTTTGGTCTGGCCATCCTGAACCCTTTTCCATTCCAATCCAACTTTTGCAAGCATGGCATGTCACGCTAACCAGTGGCTCGACATGCATAGTACATGTCCATGGCACCTCAGTCGACCAATATTCACAACCTCATCGATCGATTTGCCTTTCTTGCCTAGCAACTTCACCTAACTTCAACAACAAGGAAATGAAAGGTGGAAGCGTTTGAATACTGTATCCGTATCCTCTCTTCTAAACTAATTTTACTTTTGAGGAGGGATAATGAAAGTATATCAAGACTGTGAACCAAAGATTTCAAGAGATGCAGCAGCCAGATGGATATACCATGAGAAAAATGATAAAAATTTACGCCTCCCATTCAATTTCAATGGTCATAAAACGGTATTATCAAGTGAAAGAAATGTTTGAGAGAAACGGGATTCAATGCAATATGAGGCAAAGGGTCCGTATCACCAAAGCATGGAGAAATCTTGCAACTTTCAACCAAAATAGACTCTGGCAAGTTGTAAAAAACATCCTAAAACGTATGAATATAGTAATCAACTAATCACACCTTAACTGAATCTCCAAAGTTTGTAAAATGTCAAGAATGCACTGAATGAAGATAGACACCACACATATGAAAGAAAGTTTAAAGAAAAAGACTGTCATATGTCACGCAGGAGCACTACTCTCTATCCGAAATGCAATTTAGCCATCTTTTAAGCACATTTGAATAACCGAATGTGAAGTGATGAAAGCAAAATCAAGTGCATTAAAAGGTGCTAAGGAAAAAATTACTGATTTTGTTTCCACTGAACTAAAAACTCAAGTAGTAACAATAAGGTCCCAGAGTATAGTGCAGAGAAAGCAGTAGTTAACAGAGTCGACTTGTTTTTCAATATTGTAAAAACGTATACCTTACGTCATAAAACGTATTGTCATTGAGAAGAATAATACGGATAATATCGTGAGTTATTTATCTGAACTAGTAGTAATCAATAACCATATAAAGGTTGCGATTAAAAATTTCGGGAAAGAAACTACAGCATAAGTTTGCCATATATATATATATATATATATATATATATATATATACAAAGTTCTGGAAAATATGGTAGCAGCAATACGCACATTTCAGCAAACAGCGAATCAAAATCCACACAACATTCGTCAACCTGAAAATGGGAATCCACTGACACTTTTATGTCAGAAGTGACTTCACTTACTTCCCTTCCCCTCAAAACTTTCAACATAATTCTATCCCATAGGTCAGTGAATTGATATTAAAATGGGATATAGCATTACTGAGTAACCTTCTATGTTACTACACCCTACAAAAGTACATCAAGATATATGACAAAGAAACAAAAGACAACAGGATGGAATGGGAAAAGCATAATCAAAAGCTGCAGAAAGCCATAAGAGGAAAACAGAACAGTTAGAGCAAATAACGGGATGCGATATGACAACTACGATGAAAATAACATGTGGACACAGCTGCGCCAATGCAATCGATTCTAAGCCGTGTCATTTAGTCCCTAACCATTGATTTCGGTCATCACGTGCACTACAACCGGAAAGTCTACATTTCCCTACATAGATGAGAGCAGCAGTAAGCAACTTCCCGAAAAGATGTCACATTTTAGCCTCCTCACCTTTGGCCTTTCACTTATCTAAAACCACTCCGGTTAACATCACGCCCAGGGTAACATGGTGACTAAGCATGCGTAACACATGTATTAGCCACCTCAGTTAGTGATGGTTAACAAGTTCCTCAGTGGACTTACGTTTTTAATGACACGTGGCCAGAGCTAAAAGGGTAATGGTGGTCAAATATCTTCATTTTTCTACGTTATCCACCTATAACAGATATGTTTCTCTACCATGTAGCAGGAGAATAACAGTTACTGAGCAGCGCACTTGACCTTGACCAGGCAATAGGAAATCTCACCAACATCGTACACAGACCAACCCTGAAGCACTTGTTTGAATTTCGGAAACGAGAGAGTCTTCGAAAGGTTGTTAAACTGTTACTCAATCTCTTCAAAAGACATTATATTTTTTCGGTGTTCCCCCCCCCACCCCCCTCAAATACTCCAAGCTTAAGAGTCTGCTGTCTTCCAGTGAAAGAAAAAAACACGAGGATACGGCAACTAGTAAAAGCATGGTTATGAAAAAGTTAAATAAAAATGGACACCGAAGTAACTTGGCAGACGTAATTCAACGTAAGCAACTAGTCGCAGCCTCTAACAATGCAATGTAACTATTCGACGCTCCTCTCAGTGAGAGATATTGCTATAAGACCTCTCAATAAATGATAGTGGACCCTGGATGAATGCATTTATATGCATGTATTAATTCGGATGAAGCTGTTGCGACCCACCTGTCCTTTCTGACTTTCTTTTCAATTTTTTTTATTCTTTATCACTGTAATAACAGTAGACTGGAGACGTCACCAAGCTTCCAAAGGATCAATAACATCGTCATTTCCCGATGACTAACCAGCCACCTCCTCCTAAAAAGCAATCATAACATCCCCAATATGGAACTGTAAAATAATAATCTACGAATTTTAGTTTTTCTATGTCCATTTAGGTGCATATGCTTCAAAAGCAGCGACGTCTTCCAGCGATAATCTATAGAGATTTGACCTATGTCCACTTCTGACACATAAAATCAAATTGGCGTAGAATCTGGCACGAGAGTAGGTCAACTCAAGCTACCACACATCACAGAGGTATGCGAACGACAAGTGGATAGAGAGATATGACATCAAAATAGACAAGTCTATGATTAGAGAGAGAATACATGGAGGTGTTAGTGAAAACGGTCAAGTTTTAACATGAAGATTGCACAAATCTAGGCCATTTTAACCAACCTTGAATCATGCCTTTAACAGTCTCCAAACAATGATTCGTTACGTCTTCAGGACCCCAGAAGAGCTGCTTACATTCCCCTAAATGACTTTAAACCAACAGTCAGAAAATTCCCAGGCTGGTGCCATGTCTTGATGTGACCACCTTCAATCTTTTTTCAACTTAAGCTTACTTTGGTCGAGATCGCGCGTCTACATAGGCAGTGCAATGCATATGCAACTTATGTAGGAATCACTTTTGAGTTGAGATCAGTATTCGCCATGTAAGACGGCCATATAACCCTCCTTCTACCACTTGGGTAAAGACATGTATTAAAAAACCAACGCATGGTCACTGTTAGAACATATGATCCGCAAGGAGTGACAATCGTTTACTAACCCTCTTCAGTGGTAACTGATTGTAATATGGTGTAACTGCATCAACTATTGAATTGGGTTCTGTGGAGGCTGTGAGACAATACTTCTCTATATGTGTGAAATTTGTGCTAGCAAGTTGTTTAGGCGTCATTATCGGTTGACTCGAAAGAGATTTCAAAAGTACTACCTGAGTACCTTTCTATGTCTCAGGGCTCTATGATGATTTGCGACTATACAGACAGACATCCAGCACATACATGAGTCCATAAGTGACATCTAACCAAGTCATCCAAAGTTCTCCCATGTGTAATGAAATTTTTATTGCCTATTCCATTCTATACTACTATGAATGACATTACAAATCCTATCGGTTATCTTTTAAATGCTATTGTGAATGTTACTGTAGATATGGGTATTTAATATTGTGTGGTTGATACGTTTGGTCTAACTGTTTGACTGGAATTTTGGAACTGTTAAGAATGTACGTATTACAATTACGAGTCCTACTTTTTTTACGTGTTCCTGAGTGGCAAGTTCTAGTGAATATTACATAAGGATATTTAGTTCATAATTTATTTCAAAAACAGAACATGTATATAGAAGTTACTAGCTATGAAAATCGTTTGTCTCTTAGGAAGCTAAACAATTATCAGTAAAACTTATCTTTCGCTACATATGAACTGCAGTCAGTAGGAATTGCCCTGACTTCTTCCCGTGACGTTCGGTCTAATAGAGCACAGGGGACTATCGGCTTGGACCCGCTCGGGTAGTCATATTCTCACTCCGGGAATCAAAGCCACGCTTACACCTAGAAGACTTTGAGAACTAGAGCAGCAAGTCACAAGACTTCAAAGTGAATTTCTCCGATTTTCTGAACTGGTCAGCTGAGACCCAGTCAAGAACAACACTCGAGTAACTTTTTCCTGAAGCGGGCTAATAAGGATAACTTTATAGACTTGGATGCATGAATAAAACGGGACGAAACACACTCAGTTACCTTGTGCACATTTGTGCAGTAAGCAAAAAGCCACACCTGTTGTGTGAGGGCTATTGATACTACCTGTCTGCTCAAACCTGGGTTGGTGGAGCAGGGCTTCAACACCGTGACCCAGTGGTTGGTGGTCATCTCCCTAACACACTGAGTCACATCTCAAGGATGTGTGGATACACAAGGTGACACGTATTTGATTAAGATGGGCTAAATAAGGCCATTTTAGAGGATTTCGACTTGAATTTAATGAAGTGCAAACGTTTAGAAGAACTTTAACAACCGATACTAAAAGTCTATCAATCAGGGAGGAGTGTTCTACTTTCATGGCGAAACTTAACCAGACTATCCAAATAAAGGGAAGGAAGTAAAAGCTGAAACATCTTATTGCTACTACACATGAAACAGCCAGTAGTATAACTTCGTTCTTGGATCCCCTACCATAACGTAAATTATTTACACCACGACGGCAACTGTTTTCGGTCTTAAGGAAATACAACATACCTCTCTGGGGCGGCAGAACCTTAAGGAACATTTATTTTAAACTAGCATAGGTTATTGGGTCATATAGATATGCAAACCTGACCACTAAGTTGATAGCTGTCTTTTAAGATCTAAGTTCAACTTTCAGTAACTACGCTAAGCTCAATTTTATTTTTCTTAAATATTCTACTAAGCGAGAGCAGATTTCGAAAAATCTCACGAAAAATAAAAACTGTACGTATGGAAACCAACACAACCTCTTAGAACTTAATCGAAGGGGAAATATATATTATACTGCCAATAGTATGCAAAAAGATAAAATGGAAATGTTTTGGTTGTATTAATTTTAAAAAAGTTGATTCTCAAAGTGTATTTGAACAATCTCGCCCAAATAGAATTAAAAATCTTAGTTTGTAAACTGCAGTATAAATTGTTTTGAATGCATACCTACAACCAGTAGTGGCTTTTAAACCAAGAATGAGATACATAAAAATAATGTGAAAAGGACAGAAGACATATGATCAAAACATCGATTTCACTACATGGTTATTATTAAAATTCTCGATCTTAAATGATTTAAGAAACAACAGAGTAAAGGTAAATCAGTTGTTATATGATGAAAGATAATACTTGAACTATGTATCACGAACAAATAATATTTTAATTTTTGGATTAACAATTTAAGAATACTATCGAAATACACACATTCATAAGTAAGGAAAATATACAAACCTGATTTTTAGTTGAAATACGAGCATCACATGTTGGAAATGAACTTTCTTTAACCTTTGGCGCAACTGATTTACTATCTAAGACAAAAAGGTAACATATTAAATACAGCATACCAGTTTTTCTAGAAATGAAAGTGTTATCTAGAGTAAGCTTTTTTATGTAGTCGTCAATCTGAATATCTTCTGTTTTTCGAGACAGCATCTGCAACTTCAGCTGAGTACTTTTAAATCTTCTTCGCTGCTCCTCAAGTGTCGGACCAGAGGGACTAGTAACGACGACATTACTAAAAAAAGGATAAAGTAGGAGCTGAACTTACTTGGAATTACTTGATTTACTAGTCATTTCGGCATTATGTATTGGGATTATTTACTGTTAGTCGGTAAGGAAGTTTATCCACATTTATGTTACATAATGAAGAACAAATAAACACTGGCTTTTCTTCACTTTACCATGCAAAGTACGATCTAAAACAGACAGAAACATATTTACTGAGGACCATAAGTACGAATGAATGAATAAATAGATAAAATGTGAACAAAATATTTTGCATAATGATACCCACTACTTGAAACAAAGCTAAATTTGAAGTAAACTACATCATAACGATGAGTATTGAGAAATGCTACTCCATGTAAACCGCTGAACGCTTAAAAAAACACCACCTTAAAAAGTAAAATAAAATAATTTTTTAAGAACGAATTTCCGTTGATTCTAGAGCTTTGTTAATCATGATACCTCAATTGATGACAGTGAAACTTATCTAGGTGGCTAGAGCATGTGATACATATACCTAGAAATCATTAACAAGGACGTATAACTTTAACAGTGGAATTTATATTTTTAAAAATAGTGAAAATAGTAAATCCGATCTGACTGCTGGCTTGAGTGATACGTGGAACTGTGGACTGACTAGCTGTGGTGCGCTATAAAAACGAAGTGAGTGGTTAAGGAACTCTTGTCGTGCACTTATATGCAGCGTTCCACTTCGATTGTGTCTGTCTGTCCGGTTGCGATATCTTGCATTCGTACATATGCATCAATCGTCTAACTTTTTGCTACAAGCTCACTTTTCGGAAGTAAGGCTAGCAGGTAGTGACCAATATTAGTCCTTGAGATGTTAAGTGTTGCAGAGATTCGATATTGCTCTGAAGGTTTCAACGCAAGTTACAGAAAAACATTACTTCTGTAATAATTTCCATTGGTTCACAGTCCGTCGCGATAAACCGATTTTCAGATATATACGATTCGATGAAGGCTTCTGGAGCCTACGGTGACGTCCTCTGACGTGATTAGCTCTACAGAGAATGAATAAACAAGATAGATTAGAACTAAAACCATTATTTCGGATATAATAGGCTAGTATGAGGTCTCTCTTTAATCGGCGATAAGAAAGTGGATATAGGTCAAGGAGGGGAGAAGCTGTGGACTATTTCATTACTCACCCGTTGGGCTCGTTACAGCATGTCTGCTTAATATTTAAAACAGGTTCACTGCTTAAATCCCATGTTCCAGATGATTTGCCGGACATAATATCCAGAACATATCCTGATGTAAGCACCGAAACGCTTTACGGAGTGACCATAAGACTATAAAATGTTTAGCGGCTGATCCTCTGCAGTTTGCTGTGGTTTTAGGGCCAGTGTATACAATTGCTCCTGAATTCCTATACTCAGATAACTTGCAAAATGGCATACTACTAATCGTGTCATGAGAATCATCATGACTAGTGCGAATGATTACACTCTTATCAGAGTTTATTTTCAGTTACCATCAACCGGATCACTTACCTTATGTATTCCGGTCTTGTCATTGTGTATAGCTCCAAACTTTTACATCATCCGAAAACATAAGACGGGATGACGTAACATTGACGGTAATTTATCAACATATGGTATGAAGAGGGTTTAAATTTAATATTATGATACTTCATTCCTCACTGGTTTCCATGATGATAGTATCCCATTAATTTCTCTATCACTAAGCCCAACCGACAGTAAGCACCTTCAAGTGGCGGTTATGCTTGCATATCACAATGACCCAACGAGCTATGCTGGTGAAACGCTTGTTGTTTCGAGGTCCTACCATACCAGTAAGGTCTGTTGGATAGTGGTAAAACAAAAAGCAGTTACTGTTGTAGAGTAAATTACTGCACTATGATGGGGTCCTGACGGTGACGTCGTACTGCTACTAGCTGGATGAAGTGTGACATTAGCAAGGTATTTCCCCTGGGTGACCAGCAGTGCCACAATGATGCTGCTTCCTCAACGGAGACGGAGGGGTTAGAAAGCGTTAGCTCAAAAAAAGCACTTCACTATCTCGCGCGGTCTTCTGCTGTCAGCGGTATGGCTTCTTTCCATCAGGCGTTAGAACAACAAAACCACGAAGCAACAACCCACAAAAAACTGTGACAGGCACCAAGCAGATGTCCCTTGGGCCCAGAGGTTACACACTATCTCTTTTTTTTTACATGACCTAAGAAGGACTGGCCTTCAATGGGGTGATCAGCTGAGAAGTATCAACCGCCCGCACACTCCAGTAGTACACAATACTCAACCAAGCATACCCTATCTTCCTCTACTCCGTTTCCTTCTTTGCCTCCACCTCCTGATACTAGTGTTAAGCTCCTTACTCCTCCCCAACTTCTCATCCTGTGGTCATTGCGAACGACCAAAGCCATCGAAATCCAATTCCTAGTTTCCTGAGTCCCCAGCAGCGATTTCATGTAGGAGCTGTCAACGTCCGAACTCTATGCCGAATCGGACAGCAAACATCGCTCGCCAGAGCTCTGGAATATCTAGCCATGGATGTGTACTGCATCTCTGATACATGTATACAGGATCCAAGTGTACTTACCTTACCTGGCTATATTAGTCAATCTTCAAAATCCACCTTAAGAGTATCCGGAGACCCCTTGGCTAGCTCTCGTAGACTAGATAGTGTAGGTATATTACTCAAATGTAGATCAGAAAGTGCGCTTCTCGACTAGATACCAGTCAACGGCCGTTTTTGTGCTGTTCAACTTGGTGGATCTGTAAGGACTAGAAACGATCGTGAGACTCGGTAATGGTATTCGTAATCTCCCCCTACGAACCCACCGACTGCAGTTCGGATGAAGCAAAGTAAGGATTAAATGAGCTGCTAAATTTTCTATGCATGGCTGTGAATTTCGCTACAGAAAGCAAAACGTTCAGATGTAGTCATAACGGCAGGTGACTTTTACACTCAAGTAAGGAAGCTGAGCCAATCGGAGTCATCTTGGAGGTATTTACGCAATCCCATACCAATGAACTGACAACGGTGATCGTCTCCTGCAATTTTATTCTGACAACCACTTGTTTCTGGCCAGCACTAGCTTTAGGCATAAGGAGATATACCGTCACACATGTCGTCTGCCGACTTCAAACTAACGATGGACACAGATGGATAATATTGGTCTAAGCCATCGTTGGAGAGGATCGCTGGAGGACTGACCTTTCTGGAATACCTGTACGGACTCCAATTACGGGCTAGTACGGGTTCGTGTATGTTTGCGCCCTGCTGGCCACAGGAAACATGAGATAATAAACCCAGTATATGACCGATTGGAAGACGAGAACGCCAAATACGTATTTATTGAGGAGTTAGCTAAGCATGACAGCAATGCTTAACCTGAGAAAACCTGGAGTAATATTAAGTCTCCTGTAGAAACAACAATAAAGACAGTTAGTAACCTACATCCTAAGGTTAGCAAATGTCATTGGATTTTCGCAACGTCATCTGAACTGATTGGTGCAGGAAAACTGATTCCAGTTAGCTCTGATCCGATGAAGAGCGAAAGCAACTACAACATAAATTGACCAAGAGTCTTCGCAATGGAACACAAGCAGTGGTGGGTGACGAAAGCGATCGAAAAGACATCAGCGTTGAATAACACTCGACAACTGTTTTAGCTTATTAAGGACACCGGCGAGAAGACGATGGTAAGTGAAGGCATCAACGAAAAAGATGGGACGTTCATAATGACTCAAGAAAGGTGGCTAGAACGCTGGTAGAACACTTTAAAGCACAGTTCAACTGACCCATAGCAACGTTTCAGCTGGTCAACATCCAGTTTGAACCTGATTGGGATGTGGATGTCTGTCCTCCAACTCCCCTCGAGGCTGAGAAAGCTGTATCAAACCTGAAACCTGACAGTTTGACACACAAAGTCTCCAAGTACGGAGGTAGGAAGCTGCTCATTTAAGTGACAGAGGTGCTGCGTAGTGTATGGGAATTAGAGGCAGTGTTATCAGACTGGTCTACTTCCTTGGTCATCCCGATCTATAAGATACGAAAGAAGTCTCTGTGAAAACCATAGGGGAATTAGTTGGACTAATATCATGTCTAAGATCCTACGGTCCATAGTTATCCAACGTCTATCTGAAGCTCGACAATAGGGAACTCCAGAATACTAGGCAGGTTTCAGACAGAGCTGGACGAAGAAGAATCGATTATATTTTCACCGTCCAACAGTTTCTGGAACACAGGCATACCTACCAGCGGCAAACACATGGTATATTTTTGACTTGAAGGCGGCATTCGACTCTGCCGACCATGAGATGGTGTGGCAGTGTCTGGCTCTGAAGGGAGTACCGAGCATGTATATAACGATTATCAAGGCTCTGTTCCCGGACTCACGTAGCCGTGTAAGGGCTTATGGAGAGTTGTCATGTGAAATGACCATAACCAGTGGTGTTCGCTAGAGATTTCGACTATCACCATTTCAATTTAACTTCGGTATAAGTGTACTGAAGCACATAATCTTAGGTACGTCTGACTTCATATGGATTGGTCTACTCACTGCACGGTAGCATATGGTATGTAGACAATACTGTCTTGCTGGTCGAAGACGCTGACAAAATGCAGGTAGCGTCTTATGGACATGTTGAGCATAAATTTGAGTATGTTTGACGTGCACTATGCATCTGTCAAATGTAAGATGATGCTTTAGGACTGGTCTGCTGCAAGTACTCCCGGTTTAATGATAGAGAGTGGGGTGGTGGAATGTGTTGACATATTCACTTATTTAAGGAGCTGCATCAACTCGAATGTGCTGTTTTCTGACCAAAACTGATCTCGGATACAGAAGGTCCGTTTGGCATTTGGCAACCTGCATTACATATGGCGTCGGACGGCGAGATATCCGACTATTTATCAATATAGGTATTAGTATACTGGGCTGTAGTTTGTTCTATCCTGTTACACGGTTGACTTATGGCCGTTGAAAGTAGAAGACATGAAGCGGTTACAGAGCTTCGACCATAGGTATCTTCGTAGCATCGGTCGAATTAGGTATTAGGATTACTATCTGTATTCCCATAATC